TTCTGAACTTTTGCTTGTGTTGAAATCTGTAGCTGAACTGACAATTCTTCTTGTGTAAGGTTGAGCTTTCATTGTCATTTGTAGTACATAAAATTATACAACTTAATAAAATCCAAAGGCAAGTGTATATATGTTAATCCACTCTGATAATACTAGGATGGGATGAATTTTGGTTTTATATAGATTCAAACTTTTGATAATCCCACACTGGATTGATCCTTTTTTTTATTTTCATAAAAATGTTTTCTGAAGACAAAAGCTTCTAACTGAATGTAGGTACAGAATCATAGATTTTCTTATCCAGCATTCTACTTTTGCTCTTTGCAGTGGCGATGAGGATCAAGCTCAAGAGAGAATTAATAAGTTAGCAAAAATACTTAAAGATAAAGAGGTAGGGTCAAGTCTACGTTCTGCAGGTGTTGGAGTCATCAGCTGTATCATACAGAGAGATGAAGGGCGAACACCTATGAGGCACTCATTTCATTGGTCAACCGAAAAGCTTTATTACGAGGAAGAACCTCTTTTGCGTCATCTAGAACCTCCTCTATCCATATTCCTGGAATTGGTCTATTATTTTTAACTTCTGCTCCTTTGTTTGTTTTCTAAGAGAAAAAAATTACTATGCACGTTTGATCTAATATTTATAAACTCTTAATCCAGGATAAGCTTAAAGGTTACCAGAATATACAGTATACACCTTCACGTGACCGTCAATGGCACTTATACACTGTTGTGGACAAGCCACTGCCAATCCAGAGGATGTTCCTCAGAACGCTTGTCAGGCAACCCATGACAGATGATGGGCTGACAGCTTATCGGGGACATGATGTTGACATGATGCGTAGTCAATGGGCTATGTCTTTTACTTCAAGGAGCATTTTGAGGTCCTTAATGGCTGCAATGGAGGAGTTGGAACTTAACGTGCACAATGCTACTCTAAAATCTGACCATGCACATATGTATCTTTGTATCTTACGAGAGCAACAGATAAACGATCTGGTGCCTTATCCCAAGTAATTAAGCCTGTATTCTCAATTTTGTTGTTCTTTTTTTCCTCCTCTACCTTCTGCATGGCCGGTGAACATATTATATATCTTCTTACATTTGAGATATTTCACCAGGAGAGTTGACCTAGATGCTGGACAAGAAGAAGCTGCAGTAGAGTCAATCTTAGAAGAACTGGCTGAGGATATTCATGCATTTATTGGTGTAAGAATGCATAAATTAGGTGTTTGTGAGTGGGAAGTGAAGCTCTGGATGGCATCTTCTGGACAAGCAAATGGTGCTTGGAGAGTTGTGGTGACGAATGTGACTGGCCAGACCTGCACCATACATGTAAGTTTCTATCTGGTAAATGGTAGTGCTTCAAAAATTCTCCACCAGTATCTAGCTGTAGTGCTTTCCTCTGGAAGTGAGAAAAAAAAAAAAGGAAAATTTTTTCTCCAACCAGCAACATTTTTAGTTCGCAGAGACTTCATACACCATACTGGACAAATCTTGATGACAACCAAAAATGGTTAAATTGAGAGGAATAAGTGTTTCTTGTTTGTCTTTTGGGTTTTTTTTTTTTTTTTTTTATGTAGTGCTTTTGCTGGTTTAGTTACATACTGAGATATGTAGTTTCAGAAAAAAATATCACTTTTTTCCCTAAATCGATTAACAGAGTGCATAAATGTAGCCAAAAGATATCTAGCTGTATACTGCGTGAACCATAAATAAGTATCGAGCTAGAACCAGTCTAAACCTGAAGTTCAACGAAAATGGAGTTTGGACGAATATTGGTAAAATGAAATAACATGGCTGCGTTCTTTCAGATATACCGAGAACTAGAAGATACTAGCAAACACAGAGTTGTATACCATTCACTCTCTGTAAGCGGTCCTCTGCATGGTACACCAGTTAATGCTCACTATCAGCCTTTGGGTGTTCTTGACCGCAAACGTCTAATGGCAAGGAAAAACAATACCACTTACTGCTATGACTTCCCATTGGTAAGCACGGTGCTAAGGGCATACAGCCGTATTGGCTACTTTGCTTGTTCTTTTCCTTTTTTATGCTCAACAATCCATAGCTGATAAAAGCTATATTACTGACTATGATGCTAATTGCAGGCATTTGAGACAGCCTTGCAACGGTCATGGGCATCCCAGTTCCCAGGTATTAAAAGATCCAAAGAAAAACTTCTTCCTAAGGTCATGGAGCTTGTATTTGCTGACCAAAAAGGCAACTGGGGTACTCCCCTTGTTCCTGTTGAGCGCCAGCCTGGACTCAATGATGTTGGCATGGTAGCCTGGTGCATGGAAATGTCTACTCCTGAGTACCCTTCTGGAAGAACAATTTTGATAGTTGCGAATGATGTGACCTTCAAAGCTGGTTCTTTTGGACCAAGAGAGGATGCATTCTTTCTTGCTGTAACTGATCTTGCTTGCACTAAGAAACTGCCTCTAATTTATTTGGCTGCTAACTCTGGTGCCCGTATCGGGGTAGCTGAGGAAGTCAAAGCCTGCTTTAAAGTTGGTTGGTCTGATGAATCCAGCCCCGAGCGTGGTTTTCAGTACGTTTACTTAACTCCAGAGGATTATGCCCGGATTGGATCATCTGTCATTGCACATGAGATGAAGCTGGCGTGTGGAGAGAGCAGGTGGGTGATAGATACTATTGTTGGTAAGGAGGATGGTTTGGGGGTTGAGAACTTAACAGGTAGTGGGGCCATTGCTGGTGCATACTCTAGAGCATACAAGGAAACCTTTACCCTAACATTTGTGACTGGTAGAACTGTGGGAATTGGTGCTTATCTTGCTCGTCTTGGCATGCGATGCATACAAAGACTTGATCAACCCATTATTTTGACTGGTTTCTCTGCATTGAACAAACTTCTTGGTCGTGAGGTGTACAGCTCCCACATGCAACTTGGTGGACCTAAAATCATGGCAACTAATGGGGTTGTCCATCTCACTGTCTCCGATGATCTCGAAGGGGTGTCAGCTATTTTAAACTGGCTAAGTTGCATTCCTCCTCATATAGGTGGTCCACTTCCCATTTTAAATTCATCAGATCCTCCAGAAAGGCCTGTGGAGTACCTCCCGGAAAATTCATGTGATCCTCGTGCCGCTATTTGTGGTGCTTTAGATGGCAGTGGGAACTGGAAGGGAGGTATTTTCGACAGGGATAGCTTTGTGGAGACACTGGAAGGTTGGGCAAGAACAGTTGTGACAGGAAGGGCAAAGCTTGGAGGAATCCCTGTAGGAATAGTTGCTGTTGAGACACAGACGGTGATGCAGGTTATCCCTGCTGACCCCGGACAACTTGATTCCCATGAGAGGGTTGTCCCTCAAGCTGGACAGGTATGGTTTCCAGATTCTGCTACAAAGACGGCTCAAGCAATAATGGATTTCAATAGGGAAGAGCTTCCACTTTTCATTCTTGCCAATTGGAGAGGCTTTTCGGGTGGGCAAAGGGATCTTTTTGAGGGTATCCTTCAGGCTGGATCAACCATCGTTGAGAATCTTAGAACATACAAACAACCTGTTTTTGTGTACATTCCCATGATGGGCTGAGCTTCGTGGTGGGGCATGGGTTGTTGTGGACAGCCGGATCAATTCAGATCATATTGAAATGTATGCTGAGCGCACTGCTAAGGGTAATGTCCTTGAGCCTGAAGGAATGATTGAAATTAAGTTTAGGACGAAGGAGCTACTAGAGTGCATGGGCAGGCTTGATCAACAACTTATAAGTCTGAAGGCCAAACTTCAGGAAGCCAAGAGCAGTGGAGCCCATGCAAAAGTGGATTCTCTGCAGCTGCAAATAAGATCCCGTGAGAAGCAGCTTTTGCCAGTATACACCCAGATAGCCACCAAATTTGCAGAACTTCATGATACTTCTCTGAGGATGGCTGCAAAAGGGGTAATAAAAGAAGTAGTGGACTGGGATCGGTCACGGTCTTTCTTCTATAGAAGACTGCGCCGGAGACTGGCTGAGAGTTCTCTGGTCAAAATTGTAAAAGATGCTGCTGGTGTACAACTGTCTCATAAATCTGCAATAGACTTTATCAAGAAATGGTTTTTAGATTCCAATGTTGCAAAGGGAAGAGAGGATGCTTGGGTTAATGATGAAGCTTTCTTTTCATGGAAGGATGATCTGAGAAATTACAGTGAGAAGCTACAAGAGCTGCGAGTCCAAAAGGTATTGCTTCAGCTTACAAATATTGGCAATTCAGCTTCAGATATGCAAGCTCTACCTCAGGGTCTTGCAGCCCTTCTAAGCAAGGTAAACCATCCAACTATCCTTTCTTGCTTTTACAGCATTTTGTCTATATATCTAGGAACCTTTAGATGATTGTTTTAATCCAATGCAGATGGAGCCATCAAGCAGAAAAGAAATTGTTAATGAACTTCGTAAGGTGATCGGTTGATTAAGAAGCTGGTAATTAATACGAATAAGATCCTACAATTTTCTCACTCTTGTGCTACTTAACTTGATACCATACCTGGCGTGGAACTTCTGCAACAATTCACCTACTATTTATGATTCTGTCAGCTACATGAAGCTTCATGAGAAGTTGAGGTGATGGCAGACTCCTCGGCCTAGTTTGTAGCTTTTGCAATTGTAAATTTAGCTGGTCCAAGTTGATAGTGTTAGATTCATTTCGCATTGGTAGGCCAGTTTGATGGGTTTGCTGCAGATCTCATGAAACTTTGCATATACCATTAATTGTTTTTGTAATAACGTGTAGGAAACTATAAATTATTCTGCTTGTGAATGCAAATTCATTAGGCTTCTGAGGGTAGTGTGCTATATTTTATTGCTGATTTGGCTGACATTTTGTGTCATAGACAATAAATTAAGCAGGTACATGTTCCTATTGTTGCCTATGCCGCATTCATCTTTCATCCAGTTGAAATATAATATTGATATATTTTGTCATGTTGAGAATTTGAGTATTTTGTTCTTACAGATTCAAAGGCCAACCAGAAATTCAACCTAACAAATGCTTGGCAGACTCATAGAAATGTAATATTGATAGACAGCTTGGTTTGTTTCTTCTGCTCTTTCACTGCCAGTTTCTTCTTCATCTCCTTGACTTTCTCTTCTGTCTTTCTCCTCTCTTCCATCTTTCTCTCTTGTTCTTTTCTCTTTTTCTCTTCCACTTTCCTTCTCTCGCATTCTTCTCTTTTCTTCTTCTTTCTCTTCTCTTCTTTGGCCTCCTTCTCTTTCTGCTGCTGATCTTGTTTCTTCAGTTCAGATATCACCTTGATAGACAGCTTGGTTTGTTTCTTCTTCTGCTCTTTCACTTCCAGTTTCTTCTTCATCTCCTTGACTTTCTCTTCTGTCTTTCTCCTCTCTTCCATCTTCTTTCTCTGTTGTTCTTTTCTCTTCTTCTCTTCCACTTTCCTCCTCTCGCATTCTTCTCGTTTCTTCTTTTTCTTCTCTTCTTTGGCCTTTTCCTTCGCTTTCTGCTGATGATCTTGTTTCGTCAGTTCAAATATCACCTTGATAGACAGCTTGGGTTGAAAAATTAGCAACATATCTTTTCAAAGATGAATTGATATGTCATTCTTGTACTTTGTGGATGACCACCTGAATATATAAATGACCAGACCATTAATTTGTTTCTTGAAAGTAAAGAAAAAAAGAAAAAAGAACTGTTAGTCCACTGAATGTCGACATCCATTGATATATGATTACATTTCGCGTTTTTCCTCGAAGATTCATGCAATTTTTTTGTGGTCGAGAGTACCTTGACTCACTCTCCTCCTAAAAGAATTAACCGACTTAAAAAAAAAAGACTGTTCATTAAAAGTAATAATAATGCATAATTTATGAGGTATATCAAAGAAATATATATGCAAATGTAAGATAGGATAGGAGAAGGGTTTTTTTTTTTTTTTGTTCATTAAAAGTAATAATAATTTATAATTTATGAGGTATATCAAAGAAATATATAATCAAATGTAAGATGGGCATTTTTTTTTTTTTTTTTTTTACAAATCTTCCTTGTGTTGTCTCCCTTATTACTAATGGTTCATAAATAAATTAACAGAATGGATATAGACAATAGACATTGATTATTATATACTCTCTCTCTCTCTATATGAATTTCGTGTTGTTCTTCCTTGAAAATAAATTAATAGAATGGATATAGACAATATACATTGATTACTATATACTCTCTCCATATATAATTTCGTGTTCTTCTTCCTTGAAAATTCCTCATTTTTTTTTGGGGTACAATTGATTAAGACTATAACTCACTCGACTCCTAACCAAGCTAATCCTATTTAAAATGGAAAAAAACTTGACAAATCGTTCATTAAAAATAATTTGAGGTCATGATTGATATATAATATAATAGATACGATAAAATGATAATTATTTTATATTATATTTAATTTGTATATAAAAAAAAGATAAAATTACAATGAAAATTAATTATTTTCTTTGTATCAAATGATTCAATTCTTTCAAAATATTAAAAATTATTTTTAACTTACGAGATTAAATGTATGTCTTATTATACTTTTAAAAATTATATAAATTTTCGTAACAATTTTTGAGCTGCTTGATAAATTTTAAAAAAAATTCGGATTCATTGCTAATTTTTTTTATTAACTATAATTGACCATTTATTAAAATGTATCCTTTTAATAGAATATTAAAATTAATTAAAATTTATTAAAAAAAATTTTAAGGTATGTGAAATAGTTTTGAAAATCGATTACGTGTTGAGAAAAATTAGTACTTCTATAACGTCTGTTTAAAGTAATATTAATTAATTATATGTTATCTTTTAATTTTGATAAAAAAATAATTTTAATTTTGGTGTTTGAAAATAATTTCTTGGATTTCTTTTGTTTATTGAAATTTTGATTTTTATTATTATTGTTTTGTTCGAAAAAAATAAATTATAATCGTTTTATTGAAATAATTCTTAAAATGTTCTAATACGTTGATAACATTAAAAGAACTTTTTCTCACCTAAAGATTTCTTAGGTATTATTTATCGAAATATTTTAGGATCTCATCATCGATGGCTCGTATTTACATTTTGTAAAAACAAAATCATACATGTAATACAAATAATAATATGTTGATGCATATATTTTATTTTATTTTTAAAAACTTTATTGATTTATTGATTTTTTATTTAAACTTTTAAAGAAAAGAGAAATTTTTATCATATTAAAAATTTGCTATAAATATTTCAATATATTGATAATATTTTCAAAAATATTCTCACCTAAAAATTTCGTAAAGCATTACTACTTGAAATATTTTTAAAATATCGTTTTTAGATAAAAATTTTTTTTCCCATTTTTATTTTATTTTTAACAAATTAGTTAATTTTATTTTTATTATTTAATAACTTTTTAGTTAATTTTTGCTTTATTGATAAAAAAAGAAAATTTTTATTATATTAAATTTTTTTAATAAATGTTTCAATACATTGATAATATTTTAAAAAAATCTTCTCACCTAAAAATTATGTAAGTATCATTACTTAAAATAATTTTAAATTTCATTATCAGATAAAAATATTTTTTTATTATATTTTTACTAATTTTTTATTAATTTTCTTATTTTTTTCAAAATTTTAAAAAATATCATCATCAAATTTTAATGAAATTATCAAAGATTTTAACTATATTTTTCATTATTTATTTTTATTTATCTTTTTGTTTTCACTAATTATTATTATAAAAATAATAAATATTTATCCTAACAAATTTTTAAAAATAATTTTATACTCATAAATATTAATAATAACAAAAATAATATATAAAAATAATTTAGAAAGAAAATAAAAAAAAATGTTTTTTACTTGAATCGAACCAACGAAACAGTTCCTGATTGATTCACTTGATCTGGGTGGATTTACGACAGTTTGGGGCAGTTCACAGGGTTCTAACCGATTTGAAATCAATTCACCAACTGTTCATCTGGATCGGCCTAAGATTGGAGCTGAGGGGAGTGATCTGGTTGTCGAGTCAAAACGCGGATCTGAGCTTTGAATCGACGTCGTTTTATATTTTTTATTAAAACCCCAAAAAAATTTTTTATTCATTTTTTGAACTCTCCCTAAAACGTAGGCCCCTGGCTGCCCCTCCGCCCAGATTGCGATGGTCAACATCATCGTCGTCATTATTATTATTATTATTATAAAATTTATCTTAAATTTTAATGAAATTATCAAAAATTTTAATTATATTTTTTATTTTTTATTATTTTTTTACTAATTATTATTATAAAAATAATAAATATTTATCCTAACAAATTTTTAAAAATAATTTTATACTCATAAATATTAATAATAATAAAAATAATATAAAAAAATAATTCAGAAAGAAAATTAAAAAAAGTTGTTTTTTACTTGAATCGAACCAACGAAACAGTTCTGATTGATTCACCTGATCTGGGTTGACTTACGGCAGTTTGGGGCAGTTTACAGGTTCTAGCCGATTTGAAATCAATTCACTGGCTATTCATCTGGATCGGCTAAGATTGGTGCTGAGGGGAGTGGCCTGATTGTCGGGTCAAAACGCGGATTTGGGCTTTGTATCGACGTCGTTTTGGATTTTTTACAAAAACCCCAAAAAATATTTTTTATTCATTTTTTGAACTCTCTCTCTAAAATCTCTGAAATGAAGAGCCCCTCGCTGGCTGCCCCTCTGCCCAGATTGCGATAGTCAACACTGTGCCGGCCGATGTTGCAGTGTCGCCGATGATCCTCGCCGATAGCCAAAAAATTCCCTGAAATTCTTTAAAATTATTTTCAACCTTTTGAGCTCAAATCCGTCCTCCTTTTTGTGGAAAGCAGCCTCAACCAGCGTAGATAGGGTTTTGAAGTTCTGACGAAAACATTTTCTTTTTGTTGTTTTTTGTTTCGTAGAACCTGACTATTTATTTTTTCTTTACAAGGTGGCTTGGGCGCTGTTGGTTCCTGGGGCTGGGTTGCACGGGTGTGCCTGTGACGGTGTCTGTCCGAGACTGGTTGGGATTTTGGTGAGGGTGCAATTTGGTGCTTGATGTTGGTGCGAATGAAGGGTGCCGAGGGCTCTGGGGGTATCTTCGCTGGGTGTCCGGGGCCTGGGATTGTGCCTCTCGTGCTGCAGGGTTGTGTGGCTTTTCTGGTTTGTTGTTGGGAGCCTAGGACTAGGTGGAAGGATGACGGGGGCTGGAACCCATTTGAAAGGCTGGGGCTGTCGCGGGTGCCTGGGCGAGGCTTTGGCTGGGTGGAAGGCCGAGTCTTCTGGTGTAGTGCCTGGAGCGCGCTGGTGCCCCGAGGAAAGCCTGGTGCGTGGCTTTGGCGTGCACGAGGGTTGGCCAGTGCTCTAATTTGATGCCTGGTGGTAAGGTCTGTTCTCTGAAGGGGCTGGTGTTGGGGTGTTTTTTGTGAGGACTAGGGAATGGGTGCTCAGGGGCAAGTGTGGGTCTTGGCAGCGGGTGGGTTTTGGCAGCGCATGGCACCACTGTCTTTTTTTTTTTTTTTTGATTAATTAATTATTATCATATTATTATTTAATATTATTGCATTTTAATATTTAATTATAAAATAAAAATAGAGAGCCAATTTGATTTATCCGAAAATTTTGGACATAATTTAATGTCTACATTAATAATTTAAGTTATATAAATTTTAAAAATAAAATTTTAATTAATAAATAAATTATTTTATTTTAATTTTTACACATATCAAATATAAAATAAAATAATATTATTTAATATAATATTATTTATAATATTATTTTATTTTATCTAATTATAATTTTTTAACCAAAAATATCCATAATCTATAAAATATTCCAAATAAATATGAAGAAATCTTGTTTTATTAAAATTTGTCGTACCAATTGTTAGAAAGGAGTATTTTTTTTTTTTTTTTACAAACATTAATTCCTTGTATTTTCTCCCCAATTATTAAAGGAGCATAGACATAGACAATAAATATTGACTACACGAATCATATGTTGTAAGAAAAGGGTTAATTTTGTGTGCATACCGACAGTAGGAAGGAAATGGAAAGGACAAGGGAAAGGAAATTTGTTGATTTTGTTTTTTTCATACGTGACCGCTACGTTTGGAGGGATAATGCCGTCTTGACTGTACCCAAGTAATAACATGTTTGGTTGGGTAGATTGAAATGAGAAAGAATTACATAAAAGTTTTTAAGTAAAATTTATAAAGTATTTTACTAATTAAAAATGATTTAATAAAATTTAAAATTTAAAGCAAAAATTGAATTACATAAATTAAGTGTGTAAATTTAAAATTTTTTAATAATTTTAATTGATATATTTTTAGATAATTATTTTTAGTAAAATTTATGAAATTTTTTATTAATTAAAAATGATTAAATAAATTTTAAAATTTAAAACAGGAATCGAATTACATATTTTGAAAAAATTTAAATAAATTTATTTGATATATTTTTAGATAATTATTTTTAATAAAAATTTTGATAGAATTTTATTATAGAATAAGTATTAATTAATTTGAATTATAAATGATATTTTTAATAGTTTTTTTTATATATTATTGACTTTTTATTGAATTCTATTAAATTATTTATTTAAATTTTTATTAAAATTTTAATTGAATTGTTTTTATTAAGAACTTCACTTACTTTATTTAGAAAGCTTCATCTCTAAGTTTTGTCGGATTGAAACCATTTCCTTACTTATTTCATGGTGTGCATGGATGCAATATTTATTTTATTTTTTTTTTTTAAAGAAAAAGAACCGTAAGTAGCTCATTTTAATTAGTTGTTTGGCACATTAATTAAAAAATATTCTTATTATTTATAATTAAATCTAGCTTGTAACATATTAAGATTTCTTCATTAATTATATAAAAGATATCCTCATTAAGTAATTAATCCACAAAAAGTCCCAATTTACAATAATTTTATTCAAAAATATTTATGCTTATTAAGTTGGCATATTACTATCCTATTTTCGGACCGATCATTTTTATATATTTCGGTCCAAAAAAATTATGGCCTCGTGATTTGAATAATAATTAAATTAAATCTTATATAGCAAAACAAATAAAAACCCAAAATTTAGTTTTAAAAAAATTAGAATAATTTTTGTTGACAAAAAAATTATTAGATTAATTTGATACGTCAAATTAATTATTAGCTTTAGTTATAATATAAGCTTTTGGCAATCAATTCATCATTATCAAATAAAAAAAAAAGTGGCAAGATTTCAATTTTGATAACTTTTTTTTTTGTAAGAAAAAATTTAGAAATAGATAGATTACTCAATTTCTTATGTTAAAATAATATATGTGATATCTGATAAATTAAGATAAATGACTGTAAGTCATGTATTAAAAATAATTCATACAAAAAATTATCGACATGATTCAAATCTAAAATTTTTTCGTTGAAAAAAACGATTTTAACCAATTAAACTTATTATTTGTTGGTTTGATAACTTTAAATAAATATATATATATATATATGTATAAGGAAATAATAATATAGTGGGAGAGTAACAAGGCATTTTTTTTTCTTTTATTCCAAAAATACTATATTAGCTTAATTTGCAAAACGAATGAGTATATAGAATGAACGATTTTATCAGAAAAAAAAAATGATTAGAGGCTAGTGAAGTAAAAAAAAAAAATTCAAGAAAACTGCAGGACTCACGATCAATTGATCATGTTTTCTTCACCTTGTGACTAAGTTTCTCTTTCCTCTCTCTTTCTTTTCTCTTCATCTCCTGTTGTAAGTGATAACTATTCTTCTGTTCTTCTTCTTGTTTCTTCATCCTCTTCTTCTGCTCTTCTTCTTTTCTCTTCATCTCATGTCGTAGTTGATAACTATTCTTCTGCTCGTTCTCTTTCTTTTCTTCTCTCTTCCATCTCTCATTCTACTTATGCTTTGCTTTCTTTCTAGTTTGTATCTCTTGCAGTTCTTCTACCGTGAGTTATCTTTTGACGTTGAAGCACATTTCATCTAGTTGCAAGATCTGTTGCTATTCTTTTCTCGAAGATGGATGATACTTTAAAGCTGAGTGAAGTAGCACATTTATAGGAGAAGATTGTCGATGCATTTGGTGCATGTGCATATCCACGTGCATTTATAGGAGAAGATTGTCTGTATTTGTCTTAACTATGCACAGAATTGGATTCATAATCAACAAACGAATATTCACTATGCATTACCTATTACCGTCCACAGGTGGCCTTTCTCACTTTTCGATTCCATGCAATTCCTTCCGTTCATAAATAAACATCACATCCAGCAGATGTTCGACCAAGCAAGAAGTCACTAATTGTGTCTTTTGAAACGAGTGGAATTAGCAGAATTTTGATTAACAAAATCAAACTTTTGTATTGGAAGAAATGAAAAGAATTAATCTGAGAGCCATTGCATATTTTTGTTGAGAAAGTTTTGGCAAACTGTAAATGATCAGTTTCCATTCATTGAATATAGATCGTTACATTAACAGTTGACCCATAACAACCTTAACTTCGTGACTTTATGGTATTAGGAATTTTTGCCCGTTCGAAAATTGACTTGTCTCAGCTTTAACTCATGTTGCTTATTAATATGTTGTGTGGTGGGACTTTGTCTCAAGTCCAAAACCGAATGGAAATAGTGGATCCTAATTGGGATATCTCCATAGTTCATTGGAAGCTGATCTGGTCTCTTAAAACCATGTACGAGCCAGTTTGCCGGTGAATCCATAGTCACCGAAGAGAATATCAGGCTTACCTTGGCCTTCACTTCCTGGGAGCGATGCGGCCACCAGGGCGTCCATTGAGTTAAGATATGGCTCAATTACAACGGGACCCCCAACAACGCAATTGATAGCCTGACAAACACTCTGGATTGTTTTTGGACCTGAATCAGGGATAGTCAAGTGTTGGCTGTCACCTCTTGTCTATGCACAAGGAACCTCACCAACAACCAAGTGGCATAGTCGAATTTCTTTTTAAAAAAGTTTTGCTTCGGTGCTTTTATCGACAGTACGTGGCTTTGATGGCGTTGAGGATGGTGGTGCCCGCTCAAAAAATTAATCGATAAATTTTGTTCAAGAGAAGATATCAAGAACTCAATAATGCAGGAAATAAAAGCATATAATATAATATAATATATTGACAAGTAGAATTTGGACGGGTTTTACGACAACAGGAGAAAATTAAACAAATTTTAATTTTTACCCATATATGCTAATAACGTAGGCTTTTGAATATTCTAATACGCCGATTGTTTCACTCATTTGGGAAGTAGAACGAAGTGATCGTCACGTCCGCCTGGAACTAGAAGGAACTCGGAATACGGAGGCATCCTCGTTCTTTTGATGTTTTATTAATGTATTTACAGATCGTTCGTTGAACAAGTTTCGATAATGATTTTTTCGCAAGTTTAATTACGAAAATTTTATTATAATTTTTTTTTCTTTTAAATGATAAAGTTCAGTGAACTTGCCCATACATGACTTTTCTTAGGTCTGTAAATCTATGCATGCCCCTAATTTTTTTAATAATAATATATTTTCTTGCATTCATATGATTTATTGATGTTTTTACTATCAAAATAGCTTTCACAAAAATCAAATTAAAATCTTATGTTTTTCAGTTGAATTAATACATTGATCAATTTAAACAGAAAGAGATTTTTTATTTTTGGTAAAAAAATTAAATAGATTATTGTTTGAAAAATTAAAAAAAAATTAACACAAAGTACGTACGTAATATATTTTACGGAACGCTGTCGTTTGAAACGAAGCCAGCTAACGTACCCCTTCTCAGCAACTAAAGTTACTAAACGCAAGTTTTGGGTTGTGTTTTTGGAGAGAAGAAAAAGAAGAGAAAAGAAAAGAAAAAATGGGAGCAGAAGACGAACAAAAGCAAGAGAACGAACAATCAAGGACCAATCCAATTACGGAATCCCAGTTCCTCGCTTGGAAGCGCCAAAAGGTCTCTCTTTTTCTCTCCCTCTCTTTTTTTTTTTATATTATTCGTTGATTTTTCTTTCTAACGATTTATGTAAATTAGGGTTTTATATAGTTGTCTCTTTCTTATTAAATTTTCACTTAATTTCAATTAAATCGCATTTGTCCCTCAAAGCTAATATAATTAAGCAATGAATTATTTCCATTTACCATTGAAATCTGAAATCTTTTTGGTGGCCAGAGTCTTTGGAAAATAAAGGTTCAATGTCCTTAATTTTTTTATTGTTTGTCCGATTGTATGAATCAGCTTTTTAAATTTTTAATTCATGTGATTTTCAGGATGCAGATGCATCAGCTAAGAAAGCTGAGGCAGCTAGGAAACGTGCCGAAGATATAGCAGCCGGGACGGTGCAAATGAATGGACGGGAGCTTTTCTTGCATGAGCCTTGGGTGTTTGATAACTCTCAATATTAAGGTTAGTTTCAAGGAAAGACCATGTAATGTTGATTTGAGCAGGACATAGTGTTTAAAGGCTCTGATGACGCTCAAATTTCAAGTCTTTTGGCTCTGTTTCTTCAAGAGAAGGCAAAATTGGTCCTATGGAAAGAAACAAGTATTTCTGGTTCTTGGTTACATCGTTGATAGTGTATCTTAAGTCATTTTACCGTTTTCCCTTTGTTTGGTTTGGTGTGCTAACTTTGTTAATACTTAAACTATCAGTATTAATTGATTATTGCCATTTTTTTGATTAATTCTTTTGGTACTCTTTGTCTGATACAGCTTTTGATTGCTGTGTTCATTATAGACTCTGGTTTTGGGATATTGTATTTTGGATCGTCATTCCTAGCTTCATATGAAGTTAATCATGACAAATGATATTAATGCATTTGTAGGAATTTATAGTTACAACTTTCCTCTGGATCCAATGCTAATTCAGCAAGCCAGCTGCTTAGTTTCCTTAATTCATACTTGAAATGTTGAATGGCTTTTGGCAAGCATATCCGATGGTTTTCAACTGCCATCAGATGTCTAACAGATCTAAGCACCACATTTTAGTTTCAAAGAAATCTCATTTCATTTTCTTGTTCTGCAAAAGTATGAAGGTTTCCACACACACAAAAAGCAGGTGGTAGATGAATGAGGTTAGAGTATCAGGATTAGGCTGATTGGCAGCTAGCAGGTGGTTCTAGGATTCAGGGCCAGAAATAAGAGGTGATGAGACATAGGCAATTCTAGGACTCAGGGCAAGAAATAAGAGGTGATGAAATATAGGCGGTCCTACGAATAGACGAGGCTGTTGGTAGAGTGCTGGACTCTTCATTTTAGTGACCAGGGTTCAAATCCTAACTTCAATTATCAAAAAGCAATATAGGCAGACCTAGGATTCAGGCAAGAAAGAAGAGGTGATGAAATAGATTTTTATATAAGCTGTACCTGTTTTCATTGACACCTATCGGAATTCTTCCTCTCAAACCCTAATTAGTGAAGCTGAACAATCCAAGGAATTAAGCAGAAACATTATGTCATGTGCTTGTTACAGCATTTGGTGATACAATTGTGTATAAAAACCTGGATTGTAGATCTTGTCTTTTCTTTTTTGAAGAGGTTATGCACTTAACTGCAACGGTATTGTAATATGAATAAAGTGTACTCTAAACCTTATTAATATGAGATGTTTGTTATACTCCTTGTCCCTGAATTTTAATATAGGTAAGTTCATGAACTGTAAATAATCAATTACCTTGTCAGTTCGTTAGAAGTTTCTTCCTTTTGATTCTTGAGGTGTACTTACCTGTCCTGCAAAATTGCATCTGGCATGAGGCCTTGCTAATTTTCCTTTTTAATATTGTAGCTAATAAGTTTGCAAAAATTGCTTTACGCCCAGAGAGAAGCCAAACTAGAGGGCAAAAGGTTTGGGAGAATGGCTAGACAAAGCAGCTTTCTTTTTTTTTTTTTTTTTTGAGATAAGACAAAAGCAACTCTTGAGTATTGAACAAATTGAAATTGGGTCATGTCATAGGGTTCATGTCCTTGATTAAGATGTATCCCTAGGGCAGTTGTCTCTGGTATGCGTATATAAAATTGAGAAATATGGCATAATCGTGAGGGTAAACATCATTTCCCTGCATAATGTTTTCTACAATCAATTAATAAAGGGTTTTTGGAATTGAGTAGGAATTTACTTATAGGAGATAAAATTTTTCTTTTTATCCATGTCCAAGACCCAAACCCAAGATTTAAAGATCCATTTGTGTTATGGTTAAAATCAAAGACACCTTACAAAAACTTGAGAGTTTGAAATCCCAAATTTACAAATACACTTAATAAACCCCAAATTAATAGTAAGGTATAGATTAGTGTAACTCTTATACTTATTTTGGATATTATGATTAAAATTAAATTTATAATTTATTTGAATCAAAATAATTTTTTTTAAATTTAGTAATTTTGATTCAATGATCTAAAAAAAATATAAAAGTTACATTAGTGTAAGTGGATTCCTCCTCTTTGGTATTATAACATCGATTAACTCATTTTCGTTGCATAATGTGAATTTATCATGTTTTATTAGTTATAAGAGTTAGAGGATTGATTTCGGATTCCTTTTGGAGGTTTTAAGTGGTCATTATTATTTCTTAAAACTTCAGCAGTGACAGATATTGCTTTTAATATGAAGGTTCTTTTCTTTTCTTTTCTTATTTATTTATTTATCATGTGGATCGTAGCTTGGCTTGATAAAAGATTGAACATTGCCATTCGAATATTATCAATGTGCAGTAAGAAACATTCAATAGAGAGAACCATGGTCACTTATAGGAGGAAACTTCACCTAATAATGACTTTTTATTTGTAAATAGCTGTCTCTTAAAATGCATTTTATACCAAAACAAAGAGAGAGGATCAACACCTTAATTTATCCAGGAAATGATTGCCTTGTAATCTAAAATCCTGTTCTAAGAATTCGAAACACTGAGTGAACAGAAACTTTAAACCGAGACAAACTGAAATCAACAACTTCTTCCCTTATCTTATCCCTTTTTTAACACAATCCCAGCAGAGGGCCTCTTCGGCCTTGATCTCAGTGCCATCCAAACTGCACATCAAACACCAGAGCTGTTAGGGGTTTAATATACTTCAAGCAAGGCATATATCACAATATGCCGAATCAGTTAATTACAATAAGAATTTAATGCCAGAAATCAGGAAAAATATCAGATCCAGCATAGCAATTTTTCTCTAATATAGACACCTAGAAAACATATCCAACTAGCCTTGCGAACGTTACAGTGCCTCCAAGAAAATGTGCCCATGAATGCAAGATTTCGTGGCCTTTTTAATGTTTCAATCAAGTTGTTTCTCTTCCTTGTTGTGGATTAACTTTTAACCAATGACAGAAAGGTTTCAATCAAGGTCTCGGCCGTATCTCCCTGTTAGAGCGAAGTAGGCTAGGATAGTAGGTTTAGGGTTTGAAGGACAGACTCCAGTTTCTTCTACAAGATTTGCAGCTCTACACCAAATTAGAAGGATATCGCGTCGAAGCTCCTATGAAAAAACGAAGAGGGTTTTGAGTTAAAACCTTTTTTTTTTTTGCTTCAGGCTCAAGTAACAAATTATTTGTTTAAAAATATTAGCTCCTTCCTACTTGAAGAGAATCAGTTAGGAAGAAATAGAAATCCAAAAAAGAAAGGAAACATGTCATAATTAGAAGTAAAATAACATAGACGAAAAGTGAAAAAGATTAAAAAGGGATAATTGGAATATTTGGTGGGGTAGAGAAATAAACGGTTCATTAGAATTGCTAGTTCCTGGTTAATATAGATCTGAGCAAGACGGTTCGTTTTATCCTGTTTCTGTTTCACGTATGGCACCATGCAAAGCCATAAGCAGAAGAATTAAATTAATTTTGATTTAAGGAACTGTATGAATTAAGAGTTAATTATGAATTAATCAAGTTCATCGTCAGAATCTCCATCATCTCCATTCTCTTCATCTGCTTCATCATCACTGCAAGTATTTTTATTATCAAACCAATGCAAAAAAAAAAAAAAAAAATCTAAAGGAGAACTAAAAAGGGTTTGTTTTTTAAAAAATGAAAAATAGAAATGAAAATAGTTATGTTTAGAAGGCAAAAAGAGCAATTCAAGGTCAGGCAAGATGCAGAGCCTACGCATATGATTTGGCCGCTGCTGCTCTTGACGAGACCTCTCCTCGTCAGTTACCAATGGCTTAGCCATAAATAAAACGGAAAATGTAATAGACCCAACTAACTAGAAGAGAGAGGCTTATCTGAGCAGTGAGTGGTGCACAACTGGAGAAGGTTGCTTGCTTTTACAGGAGAAGAGAAACGTTGGGCTTCGGCAAGTGTTTGCTATGCAGGGAAAATTTCACATTCGACCTGTAATTTTGCCACTTTTGCTTGAAGCCACTCTAGAACTTTGAAGTCATTTGGCAGAGTTCTTTACTTTGAGGGCATTTTGGACAGAGAACATCGATTTTAGAAACAATATGGTATATTCTAAAATCATCAGCAACAGCAAAGTTCATTTCAGAAAAAAATAATAATAAATCATCGGCAAAGTTATAAGATGTTCCTAATAGAAGAAATAAATAAATAATATTATGTTATATATGTCATGGATTGAGATTCAACTTTTAAATTCATGCGACTTGAGGACTTGGGTATACATTCATCTGACATCCTAAATCAATCTAAAGTCGATATGAGGTATTATCTATTTTAATCCCATTTTAATTTTATAGTTTTGTTCCATAAAAAAAATCTTATAAAAGAAAAGTGTTGTAAACCTTTTTATATCTCAGTAACCCTATTTTCATGTCTGATATGGGATTAGAATACCCTATCTCCCTCTACCCAATTTCGTGAAGCTTTCGTTACGGAGACTGACCACCCTACCTATCTTTTTCGAGGCTCTTGGGTCGAACAGATTATGACCTGTTCTGATACTATTTATTATAGATTGAGACTCAACCTCAAAGTTCGTTTGATTCCAAAACCCAGACATACACTCATTCGATATCCCAAATCAATTTAATTGTCATGGTTCACACTTTTTTTACTTTAATCTTATTTTGATTTCAAAGTTTTATCTCATAAAAGATATCTTATAAAAAAAAAAAGTGATGTGAACTTTTTTATATCTCAATAACTTTTTTTTCATGTATGATATGAGATTAAAATACTTTATTTACTCTCTTTTGAAGTGCTTAGCATGACATATACACATTTTAAAAGAGCATTATTTATTGAACTTCTAAACGAAAATAAGTTTAGGGTATTCTAAGCTTTCTTTTCTCTTTCCGTACTAGTATTTCTTAGCGATTGACGATCGATTTCTTTCAAAATTAATACAAATTATTTTCTTTATTTATATTTAGTTCTTAAATTTACACGTGTTTGTGAAGATCAATCATATAATTTATATAAATTATCCAATTTGAAAGACTCGCTTTTATCATTCTCTTTATAATAAGTCTTTGATAACCATCAATAAGAAAGTTGGAATAAACGAGAGAACATTTGTTATACTAAAACTTTTACTCTCTCCAATCCAATTGAACATTAAATTATTGTTGTCTTTTTATGATTATTGTGTAACATAATACGATATTAAAACCTTTTTTTATATGTTAACCGTTAAAATCGGTTAAATACAATTTTCAATTATTTTATATTCAAAAAAATTATTTGTATCGTTTTGAGTATTTTATTATTATATTATATTATGACATTTGAATTATTTTCTATACATTCTAAAAAAATGATAATTACAATCCTTCCACTGTAAATGAACAGAAGATTAATGTATGATTTTTTTCGATCCTAACTTTATTTTAGCTTAAATTTGAATATTCCTTTTTTGGAAAAGAAATTAAAGCCCTCTAATGTTTTCGGGAGGTCCAAAATAATTTGCTATGTTCTTATCCTACTAATCAGTCATTAACCATGAATTGATTTAAAATCCAGACAACTAAGTTAATCTTTCATAACTGCATCACATGTCATTACCTTTTAAACAAATACTCAGTCGATAATTATGGTTCAAATTTTAATTTTAATTGATGGGGCAGAAAATGGTTATTTTGAAGGAGGCCATTAATAGTATCTTTTAGGGCAAAAGCTAGGAATTAATCTTAAGGTTTATTATTGATTATCTTCACTCTAATTTTCTGACCATTAGTTTAATTTAGGTAGAGAAAAGAGTTTGGTCCACTAGTTTTTATATGCTATAGTCTTTATATTTTAGATTTTTGTAAAAGAGTTTGAACCGAGCCTCCAAAAAGTGCACCCATGGATAAATGGCTTAAGAAGAATGAATAATAAAAGATAAAAAATAAGTAAATTTTATGAGAGAAATTATAATCATTAACAATCAATATCGCCATTAAATTAATAAATTTTTAATCTTTATCTTTTTCCATCATTTCTATCAAGTAAAATTAATCTTAATTTCTTAATCTTGACATTCATTCAAACAATGTTAATTCTAGCTTCGTTATTATACCTAATTTATTTAGATTTGTCATGTAATTAAAGGTAAATTTAGTTTTATTAATATTTCTTTTCTTCAAATTTAGCATATCATTTCTTGATTAGAAGGTTTTAATTATCTCAATGGTAAAAAAGAAATTAGAACCTTTTTAAACTTTTAGGTTTAAATCTCATCTTATTAGATTATAAATGTGGAAATCAATCACAATGTGGCTCTAAATATTATGGTTGATATGTATTATATGCATTCGTATATGGTTGTCTTGATTTTTATTTTTTAAGAACCAATGTGATGGAAATGATTTAATTGAGAGAACAAATGTGTATTTAACCCATTTATTTAACTATTTTCATATGATTTAATCAATGCATTTGAACATGCAGAAAATTAGATTTTTATTGACATTTTTTTAATCATTTAACACCCGGCCATTAACCATATCTTTATTAATAATATTGAAAAATAGAAAGAAGGATTTTATTTTATATAGGTTTTATATTTGATATTATTAATGAGTCAAACGATATCAATTCATTAATAAATAAATATTAACCTTTAAAATAATATATAAAAAATTAATTTTAAAAAATTATTAATTAATGAAGTGACATCATCCGATTCAGCGATAATTTTTAGAATGTGACAATATACTAAATATAAACTTATTTATATAACCGTATATAACGATTATTTATTTTCAATTTACCCTATAATAATTGAATAAATTAAAGCACACATTAACAAATATACGTGGCAGCAAATTGATGCAATAACCTTGCAATGATTTTTTTCCTTCCATTTTGATGTTTGAAAATTTTAACTAGAAACGTTATAATAAAAAGAACTAATATATTATTATGTATATAATAGAATAATGTTTTGAGTTGAATTGAGCTTAGTATTGGTAGTAAAATTTAAAAATTAAAGGCAAAAAAGATAGGAGTAAATATGCAATTGAAACAAACCCTTTTAGATTTAATAGTTTTGTTTTCTTTCTTTTTTACAAAGGAGTTGACAATTTAAAGATAAGAACAAAAAAGATGTAAATACCGAATTTAAATTTTAGACATGATAGATGAAACTTAAGAAATGATTACATGAATCAATTAAATAAATCTCGAATTCAATTTTTTTCATCAAATAATTATTCTACCAACTGTTATATTATCTTAATGAATGAAAAAATTTTCAATTATATATCTAGAAAATATAATATGCAAAATATATTTAAGAAAAAAAATTGGTGTGTTCAATGGTACATTTACATAGGATGCTTCTATCTCAAGGAAGCTTAGCCTAGGTTTAGAATATTACAACAGGAATTAAGGTGAAGTCGTTTTAGGTTAGCACATCAAGGGAATGGAACCAAGGCATTGCGTCATTGCCCATTGAGTTGAGGAACTCTGTTCTCATTATAATTTGACCCTTCATTGTCTGCTCTCTGACCATGTGAACTACTGTTCCCTGGAATTTCCATCCGCTGATCATTTGGCATCATTTCTGGCATTTCCTGACCCACCATACCATGCTGCTAATTCCAACAAATATAATTAGATATTGATAAGTTGAAGTATTTATATATTAAGGAGCTTTTCACATGATCTGTATTTGGCAAGAAATTAATGAACATTTAGCAATTAGAAAGGAAACCTGAAGATGGGCATATAAGGTTTGTGGCAGGGGGCTGGATTGTAGCCCTGTAGAAGCAAAAGGCTGAGGCCAGAGTGGGAAATTTTCGCCACTTGGATTTGAGACATGGCACTGATCTCCTATGCTGTGTGGATCCACGTTTGAGATGCTTCCTTGCAGCAATGGATCGTAGACAGTAGATGAAAGATCCCTAAATTTATTACAAGATATACTGATAAGTATAGTATACAAATTGGGATGTGGGTTTACTTCTTATTCCAGACTCAAATAAAAGCAAGAATAACAGAATTAGAACTGAAAATGCACTGTACCTGAGAGGATTTAAAGATGCTGAAGCATCAAAGATTTGTGATTGGTTTTGACCACTATCAGGCAGCCAATTCACAACCTCATTCTCGAAAGATGGAGGCAGTCCTTGCTGTCAAATTCAATCCAATAAAATTCATAATTTTCACATTGTTGATTTCAAGTCTGAAATTTGAAGTTACCAAAGTTTTCATTTGTTTTACCGCGAGAAAAATTACCTGTATAGGAGATGGATCATAAGAAGATAAATGGTTGCTCAGTATGTATTCCTGTAAAGCAAAGGTACGGGGATTTCGTATAGAAAACAGAAAGAAGAAAATTTTACGGAAACTAAAAAATAATAATAAAGTGAAATTCCAACCTTTCTTTGCACAACATTTGCTAATGTTTCAACAAGATGTTTCTCACAGGATTCAAGCTCCCCCATGGATGTGAACCTGAGAGGGTCAGGTTCATATGCCCTGTATTTGAAGAATCGGTAACTTAACCCAAACTTGATATGTTAATCTTCTTCAGTTCTGTTTTTAGTTGTAGGTTTTTTTTTTTAAAAAAAAAACTCTGAAATACCTTAACTGTTCCTCTGCCATTTGAAGCTGTTGCTGTAACCTAACAATTTCCTGTTGGATTTCCTGCAATGAAAACATTAACAAACATAAATAAAAATAATAAAAAAAAAACATAGAAGAAAACACACATTAAGATTATAAGAGACAGAAATGTTTATGATACCTTAAAATCAGAGTTACAAGATGTTGGACTGTTTTGGGGAACAAATCCAAGAAAAGAAAAGAAAAACTTTTCTCCATTAGATAATTTAATTAAAAAAAATCCTACAAATAAAAAATTAATGGAAATTAACTCAAAGATAGAGAGAAGAAGGCAGACAAACTTGGCAAGTTGAAGAGCAATATCATTTTCACTTCTTAGCTGCTGGAGAATCCTGAGCAAATACTGCATAAATACAAAATACAAGAATTCCATGAAGAGACATTTCATAATTTTCATTTTCATGGAACATATTATCTTTCTCCATGCATTTCCCTCCTTTTTCTCCCCTCTCTTAAATTTTTTTTCTATAAAAGCAGATGAAGAAAATTTGACACCATATTATAAGGTGAGTCATTTTCTTACCTCTTTGTTTTGGATGTCACTGCGACAGAAACATTGAATAAGTATTATAAGGTGAGTCATTTTCATAAAAAAAAACAGTGAATTACTAGTTTTAAGAAAAAATTGAACTGAAAGAAAAAAGGGTTTTAAGGACATACGGATGTCTGATTTGTTCAGGAAAATTAGAGCACTGCAACAGATAAATTGATGGAGATGTTACCAAATCAACATGTCAAATGGAAAACAACCAGCAGAATAAGTATAATACTATAAAATGGTTAAGAGCATTACTGTTCCCTTTCTCGATCTGGGAGATTAATGTATCGCGTAAAGACATCCTCGATCCTGGTTTTGATGGAAAAGGTTAAAGACTTGTACTAATTTTCCTTGGGAAAAAAAATTTTCTACATGCTTATAGTTCAACAAATTTGAAAACGGAAAACATGAAAAATGTAAGCTAACATGAGCTACTACTTTCTATCCTATCTTTGAGAAGACAAGGTGTTCAATAGTGCAGTCAAAGGTCCTACTTACAGGCTTTTAACAGTTAAAAGTTATGTGAAAAAAAAGCTAATTAATTGAGTTTATTAGAGCATCAGCATGCATGAATTTTTTCTCACATGCACTTAGCCTCAAGTGGATTGAGAAATTTTTTTTTTTATAAAAGAGGTCGCAACATATGAATAAAAAATAATAAATCATGAGATTTAAAATAAAATTGTTGGATTTCATCTTTTAAAAATGATTCATGAATTAATTAATTGAAATCTTGTTCCATTGGGATTATTTTCAATACTAATAGTTAATGTTATTGTTTTGGAAAGCAAATATGTGTAGGTGAGTTTGTCTCTGCTAATTAATTAGAACTCAACTACAAGCAATTCAGGCGTTCATTAACTTTTTTTTAAAAAATAATTAATGAAGGAAAAGAAGTATTATTTGTTGTAGTGCATTGTCTATATTTCTTAAAAAAATCGCAATATCTAATTTAACAAATAACTAAAAAAAATGGAATTACTTGATAATAGTATTTCATGAATTGGTGTGGAGATCATTCAAATATTATTGAAGAGTAATCATTTTCAAGAAAATCTAGCGAAGTATATATAGTTATAAATAAACAAAAATTTGTGGAACATGAAGAAATGGTAATAGCCAACATATCTGATAGAACATGAAGAAGGCAGGATAAGAGCAATATCAATGTCACCTTCTCCCGCCAGAAAAATGGCTAATTCGGCCTGAAGGAGAGAACATGATAAGAGCAATATCAATGTCACAAAGGATGGAAAGTTCATAAGCCTTCTTAATCAACCCATTCCTACGCTTGGAAAAGGTAACCTGCCGATTGGTGTTGTTTTCTATTCTCTTAATCTCCAGTTTAACACGCCCCATCTCTTGATCTTCTGTCACCTAAATATTTTATATGTAAAAATGGAAAAAAAAATTTTTTTTTTTTTGAAAATTTGGAATCAAAAGACACTCTAGTTTTATTATTTTTAGAACAAGAAAATCTAAGAGATGATGAATTGCTATTTGCCTATATATTGTCAATGCATGGACAAGAGATGCCTGAAAAGAAGGGTGTGGTTAGATGTGTGAGAGAAAGAGAGAGGGAGGGGGAAATGGTTAAAAATGGATGGGAGAGGAGAGATTTAAGAGTGAGATATTAAAGGATTTATAGAGAGGGAAGGGGTCATAGATTGAAAGGAAATAATTCAATGGCTGATTAAAAGGTGGCACATTTTTTTTCCGCTTTGCAATGATTAACCTTAGTGTTTGAGGTTGTTGGTCACGGCGAATTTTGGTGTTATTCAGCCTTTATAATATATAAACCATGTTCGTGCATGTCAATGTTCATGTCATGCCTCTAGTCTTAAAATCATTCGTCTTATAATCTTCAATTTCTTAATCTAGTGATTAAAGATCATGTTTAGTTCACAAAATTACAATAAGATAAGATTAAATAATATTATTTTATTTTATATTTGATGTATATAAAAATTAAAATATACTAATTTATTTATTTGTCAAAATTATTTTTATTTAAAGTTTATATAATTTAAATTATTGATATAATTTTTAAGGGTATACTTGAACATATAAATTTAATCTTATAGATTAAAAATAATCTTCTCTACTTTGAGAGAAATGAATAATTCTATGCAAAGAGAATATTAATTCTCCTTACAATTTTTATCTCTTTCTTTAGATATAAATCGAATATAATATAAAATAATTATTATTTTATTTTATTAATAATATTATATATCAAATATGACCCAAAAAAAAAAAAAAGACTTGTAATGGCTTTCGTCTTCCTAAAACCCAACGATAAGTATTTTGCACTTTGGCCCAACGAAGATGAATGGGCGTATCAGCTTAAAAGCACAGTTTAATCCAACACTAGGAATTAATGATTCCCCGCTTTCCGTTGAGTCAATTTTTTTTTAATTCGTTTGCAAAAAATTAATATTAAATTAAATTATATGATAAAAATAATAATTTTCATTCAAAAAATTTAAACACAAATACCCATTTTTAAAATTGTTAGGAACAAATTTAAAGCCCAGTCCAAAAGCTCAAAAACTGATACACATCCCATATCCATCATACTATTAAGTCCAAATTCAGCCCAAATATTAACACTGAACCAATCACAATCTGCCAAATGTCAATCTCCTAATTGCCAGTTGGCAGCAAAAAGCATGCAAGGGATTGTTTCCATGTTATGGTATTGATTGATTGGTTAATATAATTGATTCTTACTTTATATCCCTTGAATAACATAAAAAAAAAAAATTTTATGGTAAAATGGGTTAAAGGTAGTGCATTTGGTAAAAGAAAAGCTCTATTCAAGAATAACTATCTTATAAAAAAAAATAAATCATTCTACATGCTATATAACCATATATAATAAGGTTTTATCTAAGGATTCAATGATGTTTTAGGGGCCCAAGTGAACAATGACAGGTGAGTTGAACCCATCCAATGATCCAAATGAAGCATAAAGCTACAAAATTATTTCTGCAAAAACCATTAACACTTCTCTATAAGTTAAAAATTTCAAACCATTAACCGAGAATTTAAAAAAAAAAAAAAAGTATTTCAAGTCTTAAACACATGCAGATGCAGCATTGTGCTCAAGCAGCAACTAACTTTGTGGAATCTCATGACATTCATTATTTAATTACTGTTTAGTATAACAGTCATATGGTTACAAATTCAACCTATTACTCAATAAGTCGGTGAAATTTAATACTATATCCTTAGTATATCCCGCGACAAGGAGCAGTAAAATATTTTGGATATGACCGGATGGAGGTGAATTTATGAATCTCAAAATTGTCAACCTGGTCGGTCCTGAAATTCATTCCTTGTGCTTGAATTCCGGTGTTCTAGGAGGCAATTGGGCTACGGTTAATTTATAATATTCTTTGGGGAAATTCCTAATCCTGCTTGCTTTTCAGCTTTTATCTCTTTAGAAATTTATCCGTATGTGTAATAATTTTTAAGAGATGATACGTGCTCTTCAAGTTACCCAACCTAATTCCACTACGAATTACTATTAAATGCAATGCATAGAAGTCATTTTATCTATTTTTTTTTTACATCGTGAGAGTAAAATTTTAATATAAATAAGAGAAAGAGAGAAGATTTGATTCAAAATAAAGTTTTTGATATCCCCTTAAATATTTTAATCACTATAATTTTTACATAAGACTGGAAACTTGGTGTGATAACATGACAGTTTATTAAAATACAAATATAATTTGCAAATAGAAGAACATCAATTACCAACTTAGTTAATAAATTTCATTTCAGATTTATTATGTATAGAAATTAATGAAATCTTACTTGATTAGAATTGAGTTAGCGAAGTTCTTAAGTACTATTATATACGATATGATGTTTAAGCAGTTAAAACTTAAGATTTCAATTAGTAGATATTACATTAAATTGAAGTATTTATAAGATAAAAGAAGATTATATCGCAAACTCAAATGGTCTCTATATGTGTACCAAAATTAATTGATTAAATCTCATCTTTAAAGGAAAATTTTTGAGAACCTACGCAAAGTTTTGAAATAACTTTTATAAGGATATGCCTAAAGTGGAATGGTGGAAATGGGTTTTAAATAGAAACACGAAATATATGACTTAATTTGTACTTGCCACTTGCACAAAAAGAAGCGTATAATTGAACATCTCCTTATAATTAGCAATTATACTTACATATTCACGTGTTTTAATTATCAATTTAAAAAAAAAAAAAACTATAAATTTTTTGGTACACTAAAAATCTTTCAAATTATGCAATTGAAATAGAATAATCCGTTTCCTCTAAAAAAATTAGGGATGAATGTGTCACTCTTTTTGAAAGAAATAAAGAACTTAGTATTATATTCATAATATATAAAATATATGTATTAAAAAATTTAGACTTTCGTTGCCAACAATCTAATGAATTATTTAAAATTTAATTTTTAGCCAAAATAAAAAAACAAAAAGAAAAATTTCATAATTAATTACATGCAATATATATCGAATAGTAATGGATCAAAGAAAGGTTATTTATATTATTATCTAAGTATACCATATTTCTGCAAACAGGATATGAAAATAGCAAATAACCAATAAAGAAAACCTATTTCGTAAATCCCAGTGTGGTTTCCATAATCAAATCTTGCCAGCTTTGCCAAACATGTCCGGCTCCAATTTATTTTCTCATAATTCTTCCTTATTGGTGAATGATAAGTTTCAATGAACAGGGGAAAAAAAACTAGAAAAAAAAAAAAACCTGTTGCCCTCGTGCAAAAGGATAAGCACACAGAGGCATCAAATAAACAGCAAGATTATGTTGCAAATGTTGTAAAACTGTACAATCCTCTAATTATTATTATTATTAGTATTATTATTATTATTATTAATTTCTTCTTGTTTACATGATGGAGCAAGCATTAGGGTTTTCATCACTGAACATGTTGGTGTAGCTGTCGTCCATGATGGTTTCAGTGATGGTGGAAGTGACAGGAACCGCCCTGACATGATTGGGAGGTGCCTTCTTGTCATAAGCTTGAGCCACGTAAGGATTCGCCACCATAGTGTACGGCACATAAGGCCACAACTCCACCTTCTTCTTCGTCGACTGAGCCGCGGCCAGGACTTTCTTTGCCTCCACGTTACCCGTCACGGTTGCTTTTTGTTGCTTCAAGTCCACCTCCACAGACTTAGCCCCTATAAAAAAATTTTTGAAAACTTCCAAGCAAAACATAAAAAAAATTTTACTATATTTAGTTTGAGTTCAAGAAATTCGAACCCAAACTATCATTGGACTAAACATTTTTGTTCATCAATCATATGATATAAGTGATAGTTTGGTTTATTACCTTTTACTCCGGAGAGGACTTTCTTGACCTTACGGGCACAACCTTCACAGTCCATCCTGATTTTAAGAGCTACAGTTTGAGTTTGCTTCTTCTTTTTCTTCTTCACGACGCTAAGCAAATCAGAGATGTATTCCAAGGTGCCATCGACTCCCATTTTGAGTTGACTTTGAGAAGGCAAGGGTCGGAAGGGTTTGAATGATTTTGATCCAAAGAACTAAGATAGGTCTGTCTTAGGTTGAAGAAAATGACTACTTCACACTTGTTTCGTCTCAAATGGACATAAAATAAATGCAAAGAGAGAAGCGTAAAGGCTAGGGCGGAAGTAAGAAGCTACTCACTCTTGGTCGTCATGGCCATGGCTAGCTTGTATGGATTTATAGTGTCAAGCGTGACAAAAGTAAAAGGCTTTAAAAGATAAGTTAAAAAAAAATCTTAATATAATTAGGGGAATTTTGCTTTAATTTTACTAGTATAAGATATTGGAAAGGGGGTTCTTCTTAGAAACTCCATGAAATTTCCTTTGGGACACACATCAGATTCTCTCTCCCTTCCGTTGACTCTTTGCTCTTATAGAGGAACATACACAAAAGTGAAATGCTTCAAATGTCTTCTCTTTAACGTTCACCGTTTAGTTGATTTTATTATATATATATATATATATATATTTATATAGGATCAAAAATCAAATCCTTAATAGTAAACCTCTTCTTTTATCGGCCATATCTCGTTACGTTTTCTGAGAAACAGGTGTGTGAAAGCCTGAAAATGGATTAAAGGGGTTCAAGTAAATGTTTGATTTGTCTCCAAAATGGGTTATTAATTAAGAAGAGAGTAAACCAGTAAACGTTTTTTATTTGAAATTAAAAGGATTTAAACTTTAACTACTAATAATAAAAGTTTCACACTTTATCGATAAACATTTTTATTAAAGAGACCAACCACTAAAGCTAGAAAGAGATGCATCAAAAGTTGAAAAAAAAAAGATTAAGAAAAATTTTAGGTGTTTAATTTTTCAACGAAATTAAATTTTTTAATGCTCAAGATATGGGTTTGTGACAGCTGCCAATTGTGAGAAGATCTGGAGTGACAAGTGGACTTAGAAGATTCCTAGGGGATGATCCATGGCCACGTTGCAGAGAAATTACACAATCCGGTCACTAGCAATTGTCCACTTATGAAATTGCATGGTTGATTGGGGGTTTGATTGGGCGGTGGGATTGTAGAAAAAATAGTCAACAACTAAGCGTAAAAGGATAAAAAACATAAAGGAAAGAATAAACAAAACTGAAAATGGATTTCACTGTCCTCTCACATGGCAGCGAGCTTTGAAGGGTGAGCATTTAAATTACTACCTTTCTTAATCCAACTCTAAAGCGAAAAAGCTCCCCCTCCGTGTGAAAATGAAGGCGTCCATACATTTCCTATAATTTTTTAAACGAATTATGGAGTAGCATTATCCTGATCAATTTCTTCCTTTCGAAGTTGTTGGGATAAGGCCCAGATTGTCATGCAATTTCAATCAGTAAACCATGGCCATAAATTCGAGTTCTTGAAAGTGAAGTTGTCTCCCAAGGTCACTAAATTATTATTGTTAATCCTTAGCCTGTTAACCAGTAGCATATCTGCATCTTGCGAGGAAGCTTTCCTCACTTAATGGTGCAAAATTTTGTTTTATGTACTTTATGTTAGATAATACTTTTAAGAAAATAAGGTACTCTCATATAATTGGGTATGAACTAATCAAATCAAAAGATTATAGGCTTTGGTCTTTTTTTTTTTTTTTACACGAAACCTTAGTTACTTAATAAAAAAAAATTATTTTAAATTGATGTCGTAAACCAAGAAAAAAAAACCAAAAAAATAGAGAAAAAATAAAAAAAAAGAATTAGTTGAATGAAAGTCAATGCGTGATTGATTGAGCTGAAATTTTATCAGTAGGTTTATAATTCAAAGTTCTACATTCTAAACAGTGAAGATCATGTTTGAAGCTCTCTAAGAATAAATTTAGTGTGTATTTATTGAGTCGCTTATTTAGTGAAATTTTTTCGATTGTCTCTCTTTAGTTGTTGATTAGCTTTAGTTTTAGTTAGAGAAGAACTTTTTATATCTATTATTTGATAGTGAAGTTTTTTCTGGTGGTCCGTGATTTTTTTCTTTACACTGAAAGATTTTTCACAAAAATCTTAGTGTGCTTTTATTTTTTTTGTATTTTTTATTGTTGATTATTATCTATTGTTGTGGGTTTATTGCAATATATTGCTTCTACATTGTTGTGTTTATTGCTTCAGGTCTAACAAATGGTATCAGAGCTAAGGTTACGGTAAGTTTGAGTCCCAATGGTGTTGCTGGGGGGAGATTGTTGGCAGACTAGAGGTTGACCACATCCATCAACTCCATGTGCTCAAACATCGGTATTAAAAAGTTCGACTTAGATGTAGCAAGTCTATGATAATATATATAAAGCAAAACATCCAAGTGGACGATGTTGAGTCAACCTAGAATGTAAGTTAATGGATCACTAAGACAAACCGGGCAACTAGATTGAATGTTGGAACTTGGCCTAAAAGCACACTAAAAATGTGAGGTTGCTTGACCCAAAGGAGGAGGTTGCCTAGCCCAAATGAGGTGTTGATAGGACTTACTCGCATGGAAGAACCGATGTGAGACTTGATTAGAACTCACAAGTGAACGAGAGAAATTGTTGGGATATGGTTCATATGTGAGTAAAAAATTTCACATCATTAGAAAATCTAAATGAGATGACCTATATATGCATGAAGAACCCAAGAACCTAATAGCTTAAGCTTTTGAGCTCAAGCGGTGTTCAATATGTATGTATGAACATTCTGGTATACTCTCATAGGCTCTAAGTGTGGTTATCTCTCTAACAGATTGCTTCGCTTACTGAAAATTGATTGCATCTAGCTCATCATTAATTGTGGCTGATTTATTCATATCCTTAAGTTTTATTTTTTGCTCATTTTCATCATCTGTGGCTTTTTCTTGTGAAACCTTTGTCGGTTTTACAACATCACACTCAACAGTAATCCGTGTAGTTTTCTTATTTTTTTTAAGGCCTGTTATGTTTTTTTCATGAAAGATCATATCTTTGCTTCTGATTATCTTTTTTTTCACTGGATTCCTATACTCTGTAACCAAATTCTTATCATCATATCCTATAAATACACACTATGTAGCTTTACTATCAAGCTTTGACCTCTACTCTTTCGGCACATGCATGAATGCTTTATACCTAAAAATTTTTAAATGAGAGTATAAACCATCTTTTCTTATCCACACTCTTTTTGGAATGTTAAAGCCCAAAGAACTGATGGTGATTTGTTAAACAAATAACAAGTTATGTAGATTGCTTCACCCCAGAATAGCTTTGGTAATTTTGTCATCCTTAACAAATATCTAATTTTTTTTCATAATGGTACAGTTTATCCTTTCAGCTACACTATTATGCTATGGTGTTTCAAGTTCTGTCATCTCATACTTTAAACAGTACTCTTTAAAGCTTTGGATGTGTATTTCCATTATTATCAATCTGAATACACTTTAAGGGTAATCCTGTCATCATTTTCATCATGGCATAAAATTTTTAAAAATACTATAATACATGGCTTTTATTTTTCAATATATACATCTAAGTCTTACGTGAAGCATCATCAATAAAAATAATAAAATATCTATTATTACCTAATGAGTCAATCTCAATGGGATCACATACGTTTGAATAAATTAATTCTATTTTTTTCCTCTGAGAACTCTTACGAAAAGAAACTCCACAATACTTACCAAACAAACAATGATCACATGAATCGAGAGACATATTTTTAGTCAAGAGAATAAAAGACTGTCTTGCTAAAACTTTTAACCCTTTCTCACTCATGTGTGCTAGTCTCATGTACCACAAGTTTGTTGAAACATCATCTTCAACGATATTTATCTGGTTATCGTTTAATTGCATCCAATGTCTTATACATTGTGCAACATAGTTTTTCTTTTACAACTATCATAGATCCTTTGAGAAGCTTTCACTGCCCATTTTTTAATTGACTATCATCTCTTTCCTTATCAAGGATATTAATAGTAAGTAAGTTCATTCTCATATTCGAAATGTATTGACATCTCTCAAAGTCAACATACAGTCCATACTAGTTTGTACAACAATATCATCAATCTTAACAATCTGTGACACATTCTTGTTTTTCATCTTGGTGCAACCAAAATTTCTTACTTTGTAAGTTATAAACAAGTCGCTCTTAGGAACATAATGATATGCTTCTCTTGTGTCAACTATCCACTCAATGTTGAGATCACCAACATGATTACAATCACTATGTGTATAAATTAAAGTAACTGAATCACTATTTGAATTTATTGTTGTAACATTGCTATCATTTGAACTCTTATCTTTCTCATCTTTTCGTTCTTGCTTTAAAATTTTACAGTGTTGTTTTATATGACTTGCTTTACCATAATGAAAACATTTCATTTTATCTTTGGACATGGATCTATGTTTAGACTTACTACAATATTTTGAGTTCTGATCTTTATCAATGTTTTCACCCCTATTCTCTATGACCAGAGCTTGATTCTCAAGGTTTACATCTTTTTGCCTTACTTCTTCATTAAGCATATTATCTTTTATCATCTTTAATGTCACATTGTAATCAAGAGTTGAATTAAGAACAGTCACAACTAGGGTATTCCAGTTGTCTGACAATGAACCAAAAAAATAACGCCTTTATTTCATCATCCATTTTAAGTTTCATAGTAGTCATCCAATTAAATATATTTCAAAAATCACTCAAATGTTCTGTAATAGATCGTCCATCCATGTATTGTAAATTTACAAGCTTTTTAACAAGTATAACTTTATTCATACCTATTTTTCTCTCACACAATGCTATCAAATTTTTCTCAAATAGTGTGGGTATCTGTCTCTTGCGTTACATATGGAATACGCTGATATCAACCCATTTTTTTTATTATAGCCAGCATTTTTTTGCCTAACTTCTTCTAGCTTTTATCTTTCATATCTGTTGATTTAGTCGAATCACCTAATACCAGCTCATACAAATTTTTACAATATAAATGATCTTTCATCATAGATTTTCAAATTGAATAATTTGATGCTGTCAATTTTATCATGGAATATGTATCACCCTATATGATCTCAAACAAAATTTACTTTTGTCTTAGTTTGCTTTTATATCGATATCTTAAAATAAACTTTGTTCTGATACTACTTGTTAAGGAGATAAACCACATTTAGAGCCTATGAGAGCATACCAGAAAGCTTATACATACATATTAGACATCACTTGAGCCAAAAAACGTAAACTATTAGGTTCTTGGGTTCTTCATGCATATATAAGATATCTTATTCAGATTTCTTAATGATGTAAGATTTTTTACTCACATGTGAACCATATTAGACATCACTTGAGTCAAAAAACGTAAACTATTAGGTTCTTGAGTTTTTCATGCATATATAAGATATCTCATTCAGATTTCTTAATGATGTAAGAATTTTTACTCACATGTGAACCATATCCCAACAAATACAAGGCTCAAAAAATATAAAACAATATGTACTTCATGTTTGAACTTGAGATTTTCTTTTAGCCTTTCTTTTTTGCAAGTTGAATAAAACAAATGGAACTTTCAATTACAAATAAAAATGGTTTCAAGATATGTTGCAAATGTCAATTTTCTTAAGATTTATTTTGTCTCTACCAATTATAATTTGTAAAAGAGGTTGAATAAAATAGCATTTAAGATACAATGAAATCTATGTTTGATTTACTTTGCATTAAAAAAACCAAATCACTAAACACTCTTTGATAAAAAATGAAAATATTTTGTCTTTAACAAGATTTTCTGTAGCAAATAATGTTAAAGACAAGAAGAAAAGTACATTCAAATTATGTTAAATAAACTCATAACAATTTCCATTTATAGGGATTTAATTTAAAGTTGTAATTTTTATTGAAAAGATTTATTTTTGAATAATTAAAGACAAATTGGTTTATTAAATTGATTGATTTTTTTATTCCAAGATAAATCATTTTTTATATTTCAAGAAATTATAATTTTTCTCGTAAAGCAATCAACTCCACCAAGAAGGTAATCGACTGCTCCTTTATAATTCCAATTTCAAAAATACTATTCAAAACAGGGCATTCGACTCCTCCTTAAAGCAATAGATTTTTTTCAATTTTAAAAAAGTGTTTGACGCATGAGCAATTCACTGCTCCATATAGGAATAAGCAATTGATTCCTTTTAATTTTCAAAAAAGTTCCAATTATGATTTCTTATAGAGCAATTGACTCCTTTTTGTTAATAGTTGACTGTTATAATCTCAAACTATTTTTTTAAAAATTATCAAATAATAACAATAGTTTGTATTAAAATTTGATTCGATTTCACTGATTTCTAACTATAGCAGTTGATTACTTAAAGATGATAATTGATTATTATTTTATATGAAATCTAAGTTTAGCATTTGTTTATCAAAGTAACTGAATTCGTACCAATGACGATCAACTACTTTTTTTAAGAATCTAAAATAATTGATTTTTTTAAGTATGACAGTAGATTATTTGTATGATCAATCTTTTACATTGATTCTCTTTAAAATAAAATCATTTTTTTTGAAATCAAACCTTTATACAATTCCTGTCTTGATTAAGTGGATGTAGTTATTCATGTCATTTTGATATTATTTGTAAAACTTTAAACATCCCTTAGTAGTTTTCCTTGTGTTGAGAAGGTCAGGGAGAGCATGTCCCTAGAACACATGCCACCACCAAAGGCTATCTAGAGGCCAAAAAAAAAATAGTATAAAAATTAATATTTAAAAATATAAAATATAAATCTTAATATCTATTTATTTTTATTTCAACTTTATAAAAAAATCTTAATCATATTTATAATGGGATGACTTTCTAAGATCCTAGGAGTCAAGATTTTAATGAAAAAAGCGAAATTAATATAACAAGTACACGATATTACCATTGTCTGTCAGATGAAGCCAAAATAAGTCCAATTTTTCCCCATATTACCCCCAATAATTGAGAAATGGTGGCCTTTCATTTTGGTATGATGAACTAGAAGGACCCACACTGCAAGAAAATTCAATAATTGAAATGACAGTCTCATAGAAGTCGATAATGAAAAAGGACAAATTTTCTGTTTTTATCCACACCTATAATCCAACCTTACCATTTGTCTTTACAACTTTATTTTCTTGGCAGCTTTTTCCACAATTCCTTACCATTTAAAAGCTCGATTTTGTGGAGGAAGGACAGTAGCTCAGACATGCTGAAGCTGACATGAAAGATTCATAATTTCATTTCTCTTGTCTGATTATTACTCTGTTCCGGTTACCAAAGAAAAGAAATGGGTCAGGGTTTCTGATAGTGTTCTTCGGTGGTAACACCATTTCAAAGTCACCATGCTCAATTTCCTTTTCTTTTCCTGCATTAATTTTGATAATTACACTATGGGTTATCCATAGCCAGCTTTTTGGGAGTAAGTTTAATGTTAAAATCAAAGGGACCACATCTGCTTTTGACAAGAAACAGAGTCGATAATGCCAACCTCAAATTATTATTTCCTGTATTATCAATCCGTGGTTAAATTTGTAAGAATTGAATAGGTTTAAATTCGATTTTTGCTATAATAATTTTTAATAATTTATCTTAATGAACAATCTGTAAATATAATATAAATTTTCTTTAAAATCTACGATTTGCCTAACCCTGGAAGAGTCGGCCCACATCCTAAACTTTTTTTTTTTTTGACGATTGTTTGGTCATATTTGGAGACAAAACATGCTCCTGGACGATTATTAAATACTCTATTCAAAAGAAAAGATTTTACAAGATATTAAAAACAACTCCCCATATCATGGATTAAATTTACTAGATTTTTTCATTTTAATACAACTTTAAACCTACAACCTCAACTAAAAACAAATTCCAAAAAGACAAAGATGGATTGGATCAGAAGAATTTCGCAGCAATTACGTGTACACTCAGCATCAGTAAACTAATACTAATGAAAGCAAACATAAGCCTGAAGTAGATTTACCTGAACAAAATATTGCTCTTACTACCAACCCCGCTTGATAAATTTAAAAGAAGAAAAAAAAAAGTGAACAATGTTCGCAATTTGGTAAAGCTGACAAGAATTGGGAGGATTTACAAGAGAGAAATACTAATGGTTAAAGTAAACACCTTAGCAGTAGCAATGAACTCAGTAGGCAAAGAACGGTGGGAATTTGCAGTGGTGAAGCCACAGAAGGTTTTGTGGAAGCCCTTCCTGCAACTGTCGGAGCAACTGCTGGTGTATTATTGGTGCTCTGTTGCTCATTGGTCGGCAGTTGTATTGGAGATTCACCATTGGGAGATGGCGTGAGATGTTCGCTTGATCTGTCACTCACATCTTGACCTGCCGATGCAATTTGGGATTACTTCAGGACATAATAATGAAGTTGAACAAAGAACATTTACTTGCTTCAGCATATTGAGAGCTTAAGAGGGAAAACTGTAGACAAACTCTAATGTTGCTTCTTACCAGAAAATATGATCAACACATGATTATTGAGGAAATAATGTAAAATAGGAAAGTATAAAAAATATTAAAATACAGGAATCACAAAAAGCAATGATTTGCACTGCTCCTGTATAATTAAAGTTATTGCTACCTTTAAAATGTAACATTATACAGAAATATATATATTTATGTATATGTTTATGTATATAAATACATGTATATGTATCCACAATTCAAGTCTGTTACTTAGCACCATCAATTTCTTAGATGAATGAAAAATGTGGGATCGTTACTGATATTTTACAATGTCTGCCATAAATCCTATTCCAACTTAATTTTCCAGTAACAAATAACACCTCTAATATGAAATTTCTGTTCAATATTTTCTGAGACTGAGATACGTTAATAACCTTAATGCAGAAAATGACAAACATCATAAAAATAAGTCACTTAGTAGTAGGCCACCATTTTTTCCAAATAATAAATTAAATAGATATAACATGGGCATTACTCATCAATAATCAGTTGTAGTACAATTAAGTGCACGATCCATCCTGACTAGAACTGACTATAACCCTCTATTTTTAATGCCAAAGAACAAGCCCCGCAATCATTTGTTTATCCTGCAGAGATTGGAGTGGGGCATGGTACAAGTGGTTTACAAGCAAGAAAGGATATGAGGGCAGAGAATTGATCAGGAGTTTATTCATCAATCATTGGACGAGAAGAAGAATGTATTGCTCCACAAGATGCTGCTTTGGTCATTACAAGAGCTTTAGTATCTTAAAAACTACAAGGGAGGGAAAGCCGATTTCTCTTCCAGAACATGATTGATGAAATCTCACTAATTTCAACTCTTATGCCTAGTAACAAAGAAATTCTTCAATCTAGATCTAGACATGTAAACCCAAGATAAACAAGAAGCCATTAAAAAAGAAAAGGACAAATGAAATAGCTAATAGAAAGGGTGGAAAGATCTACTCTATTACTTACAGTTGGAATGTGACCAACCCAACTTCAGATTTTCTCGATCAAAAACAATGCGATGGCCTGTCATGAAGTTTTCTGCAACACATTTGTTGATCCAGTGTCATTAAAAATACACACACAGAGGCATGAAGATAGCAAAGCCATAAAGAAATACAGGTGCATATGGAAAGACAGAGAGTAGACTCACGTCCAATGATACCAAAGTCATCGCTTCCACGTAATACAGTTAAACAGAACACTGTAAAACCCTGCACAACAATGTCAAGACAATTTATGCTTCCTTCAAAACTTAGAATGTTAGGACTAGCCCAGACCCTAGAGTGTGCTTGGAAACCAAAAATCTGAAAGATAATAATAAATGAATGGCAGCAACATGAATTAGATGAATTTGTCGATAATGTCCAAGGAGATTTTAGAGAAAAACCACCCTAATTACAGTAAAACAAATCTGGAAGTAAGAAAAAATTTTTTCTAAAAGGTAAGAAGTAATAGGAAGCGTCTAGGGGAAATTCTGTTACACTTAACGTTTGTTATTCTGCATCAAAAAGAAGTTTAAGTAAGTTTTCTGTTCCCATCGTATAATAATCATAAGGAAGAAGTACAAACTCAGAAAGGGGACATATCCCTCATACAAAGGAATTGTAACAAAATTTGACACATGCACAATTTATGTCGGACAAATCTATGCAAGTAGCTTGTACTCTATACCTAAATTCATATTGACTTCTGATTTAACTTATTCTGCAAACTATATTCTTTTAAACAGTCACAAATTTAAGTTCACATTTAATATAAGCAAGAAAAGGAGACTAACCTCAATATCAGTATAGGAATAAATATGGTTATGAATTTCAAAGCTTTGGTTCATAGCAAATTTAAGTCTCATGCTAGGAATTTTGAAAGGCTCCTGTGAACTGCTCAAAGGAAAGAAACAGCAGTCAATCAGTAAAAAGAAAAAGAAAAAGGCCTCCAAACCTCTCAAACAATGTCAAACATCCAACCTGACATTATAACAGTACTTCCAAAGATCTTCTTGGTAGCTAATCCTTCTCGCATCTACTTGTTTATCAAACTGTAACAAAAGGAACAATAATTTCAGGCCATAAAAAAATAAACACAATAATTTCTATAACAACGACAAGGACAAAATGATGAACCTCCAGAACAACTTTATCATAGATTTCAGGAGGAAGAAATGTGAAAGATGTGCCACTATCCACCAGTGCTAAGAATCCGGATCTCTCAAGACAAGAGTTCCCGACACATAAATGCTCTACTCGTACAAAGTATGTTTCACTGAAACAATTATTGGCAAGAAAATTGCTGAACTTCCACCACCAATAAATAGTAGCAAACATAACACCAGATAAAAGAAAGTCTTAGCTAATAAGAAAACAAAAAGAACATATAGAAGGGTCACATAGATGGCATACTATTTTCCTCCTATTGGTAAGAATGGAGTAGATTGTTGGGACGCAAGCCCTTTATCACCAAAATAAATTCTTCCAGAACCATTCTCATCAAAACAAATTGAGAAAGAATTCTGAATCAATCCTGCTTTTGCCAGCAAACTTGGAACTGAAATGTTTCCAGGTCCCAATCCCATTAGGCCATCAGGAGCAGCTCCATCCAGATAGCCACCAGTTTGCTTCCTCCCACAGCTGAATTGAGATAAAGTGAACAAAGAAGCAAGTAACATCATTAACAAAAGCATGAGCCAGACAAATTTGGCCGTATCAGATCACATATGTCTTTGGCCAAAAAAAGAAAAGATCAAATGACATCAAGAACAATCAAAACACACCCAACTATGACCGAAGCCTGAACCAAACTCTCCGCTGCATGGTCAGTAAATGACTTCAAATGTAATTTATCTTCAACCAGATATCCAGAACTTGAGGTATTATCCGAATCATATTCAATAATGTAAGGGCAGGGATCATTCGGCCGTTTGCAGTATGAACTTGACTCGCATAACTGATGGCTACAAGACAGGTTTTTGCTACTGCTTGACAAAGATGGGTTATACTCGCTCAGATCTTTATCCTGCACAATAGATGCCCCAAATACGTGGGAGCACCTGCCAATCAATCATTGGAATTAAAATGCTAAACCGGGAACCGGTTACCAATTCTTAGCATAACTAGTCCGCAATCATGGAAGCAACAACGTTAACTATCCCACTAATGTGTAGTCCAAAAGAAATATTACTACTTTCCAGTGAAAGTTTCACTCCCCGCCTACCACCACCACCACCACCACTTCAAACAAAACTAACACAGCCGCCAACTTATGGTTAATAGGTAGAATGTCCTGTTAACTTAAGCAAATTTAATAGCAAAATTCATTTACCAATTTGTTTCATCTTTAACCAAGCTTATAAGCAAGTTTATCCAATCTTCCATAACCAATATTTTGAATTACAATGAAGTTAAAAGTCATCACCGCTCTCCTATCCTATTCTACCACCACCACCACCACAAACTCATAGTTAAATTCATATTAACAAGAAAAACAGCTATTATTTGCTTTTGAAATGAATCTTCGGCAGTCATTATTAAACCTCATATGTATATTTAATAGGATCAAACCAGTAATCATAATACAAACACCCAATTCATTGGCCAATGAGAAGCAAGAACCCCAAGCATGCAAAGCAGTTGAAAAGCTGAAACAATAGCAAAACAGCCTTAGAAATTATTAGCAAGTAAACATTCTAAGCTAAACAGGGGAGAAGTAGTAATAAAACAAATGGCAATACATTGATAAATTACCAATGAATTATAGTAACTTGCAGACAAAGGAGCGCATTGTATGCAATCACATGGGACCCACAGCAGATCGCTCCCCGCATCCAATGCTACGAGGAATGAAACATTCGGTGTCCCTATGTCTATCCATGTGTAATGTAACCTGAAATTTTTTTTAAAAATACGAATCAAATTATTGACTACAAAAATTAGAAAGCAAAATAAACTGCAAAACAAAAAATAAATAAATAAAGAAGTGAAACTTTTCCACTCCTTTTTCTCTTTACTTTTCCCGAGAGACAAACGGAAAATAAGTTGAAAAAAAAAAAAGAGAGTAAAAAGAAACTTCAAAAAAGCTGACCAGTCAAACTCGTTTCCGAAGAAGAGGGTTTCGCTTCCTTGAGAAGGAAACAGCAACGGATCCTGAGAGCCTAGCTTCATCCTCTGCCTCTTCAAATCGTTCTCTATCAGCAACTCCAAGTACTCCAAGCTATTCCTCTTCGGCCAAGAAACGACACCGTTAGCCACATTGCCGTTTCGAGCAGTCCAAAGCACCTTCGCCTCGTCGGAGAACCTGTGGATCAACTTCGACGAAAATGTGCCCGCCTCCGAACCTCCAACTAAAAGCCAAACGCTCAGAACCAAAACCACCGCGTTTTTCTCCATACGACTATCGTAAAGCTTTTAAGAGTTATTGAGTTTTGCAGAGTTGAGTGGAGCCGGCTTGGTTATTTCACTTATTTGAATGGTGGAAGGGTGCGTAGTGCGCATAGACTAGGAGGCTAGAACGGTGACGTTTTAGAGGGTGTGTTCACGTGAAAGGCAAAGGGCTGTTTTATAAGAAAAAGGATGATTAGGGAATTTGAATAATAATAATAAAATTTTCATGTTTTTTTTAAAGAGAAGGATCCAATGAAGGAGAGAAACATGGGGCGCGTCATGTTTGAATACGTGTCGAAAAGTGGGAATGGACGGTGGGTAGCGGCACGTGGGGTTGTTTTATTAGTAAGCTTTTTGAAAAGGCCAGAAAAAATGATGCGATTACGACTTACGAACCTGGACCCTTTTGATAATGGTGCATGATTTAGATATTGGCCAAAAAAATCTTTTGACTCGATTTATTGCTAATAAATAAAAGGTTTAATATTGAAATATGCTCTCAATGATTTAAATTTTTAAAGTTTGATTATATGTGAATTAGTCTATTTTTTTATGTAAATAAATCTATAAAATTTTTAAATTAATATAATTAAATAAATTTTCATTAAATCAAACTAACTAATTGATATAATGACATGATAAATGATATTTAAGTGAATTACAGATATGACATTTTGTAAAAAAATAAATAAATAAATAATATTGCACTTGTAGACAAAAATTGAAATACAATAAAAAAAAAAAGAAATAAACAAGAGAAAAACAATTAATATCTTTTAACATTCAAACCTATTCATGTATCATATAAAAGAAATAAAAGAGTAAACAAATAGGAAAAGAACAAGTAATATTATTCTCCATTTAGACTTGCTTGTGTATTATACAACAAAAATAAAAAAAAATAAATAAGAAAAAAATAAATATCACTATCAGGCTTGTAAATAAAAGAAGAAAACAAAACAAAAACAAGAAATAAAATAGGTAAAAATCTATAATAAAAAATATTCATTTCACTAACATCTATATACAACACCATTTAACAAAATGTCATAAACTGAAAGTAAGTCTAAAAGTAAGTTATATATAACATCATTCAATTAATCCACATTAAACCATAAATTTGCAATTATATTTGGCAAAAGGCAATTAACAATTTAAATTGCCATATAATAAATTCAACAAAAGAAATGTTATGGAATTAACTAATATAAACATTCATATTCAATTTTTCTTGTTGTTAACATATGATCTCCACTTATGTTTCTTTCATCAATTAAAGTTTCACTTGGTATCCTAAGCTATATAGGAAAGATAGAGTAAAAAAAAAAAAAGTAAAAAATTAGTTTATTTTTAAAAACACAAATAGCTATCAATTTGAAAAGTTCAGTGTACTTACATTTAGAATTGAATTTCTTGCATCTAAGTCAATATATAAACCAATGCCAAATAAGTATGGTGGCCTATTTTGTTGCTTTCTTTTCCCTTAGCCTATTGCATGTAATGCTTGCTATTGAGTAACACTTTCATATTTATTCTACATCAACACTTTTTTGTTTATATATACATTTATGGATCACAAATAAATAGTTAATACATATGCCTTATTTATACCAATCATACTTCATACAATTTCATTCACATTTAATACCAAGAATAACATTTTTGAATAAGCAAAAAGCTATTCAATAAATATTAGATACATTTAACTTCAAGGCAAAAGCTAGATCACAAAAGTAATACTGAAGCAAAACTGTGAATGAAAAATAGCTACATCTAATAGTCATGCAAGAGGTATAAACTACCACATAAGCTAAAAATATGCCTAGAGAGACATATGAGATGTCTAAATCATATATAGAATTTAGGCATCCTTGTTTCTGGTACAGATCAAGAAAACCTTATCTTATCTAGCAAATAAAAAATAAATCTAATCCAACCAAATAAAAGATAAATCTAATCATAACATTATTCTTGCAGTCATATTGAGCATCATTTGCACACTACTTAATTTTTTTTGGGCTAGTCTTACAACTAATATAAATATAAATATAGAATTTAAAAACACTAAAAGCAAGACAATGTTAGTAATAATTTTTACCTCTTCTAAACCATGATTTGCACAATTTTTCATAAACAAGTTGCAGCACTACTCTACTAAAAAGATGTTTTCCTATTTTTTCCTCTTATTGATTCAGTTGGTCCTGAACCCTTACCTTTTCCCTTTTCTTTACCTCTACCTCTGCCTCTTCCTTTTGCTAAACCACTTGACTATTTTGAAACCTAAGAACAAATAATAAACCATTGCAATAGTTGGAGAAGAACTAAGTCAAGTTTGCATATGAATAAATAAAATGTATTAAAAACAACAACTTACTGAGCTAGATGTACCAACAAAGTTGCTTTTTTAAAGGTAGCTAGCTTTGCTGTGTTCTGGTTGTTTACAAAGCTAGTAAGTCATAATCATGCCCTTTATAGATAGTTTATATCTAGCTTTAGACTCACCATACTTTGAAATTCCATTCTTTTGTGGCAAGCCTAGCATTCTTCTAACCAAAGGAGGCTACATAACTTTTAACTCACTTTTTGGCCATTGATTTTCACGATTGATAAACTGTAAAATATGTTCATAAGTCAATACAAATCTTTCCTTTGAACAATAGTCATGGATTTACTCTTTAGGCTAATCACCATCATAAAAACTTGCACAAATAGCATGACAACATGGATAGTAGTTAGATCCATGATTTGCAGGCACATGTTCTTTTGGTAAGATTGACTATGAATTGCATCCTACCACATTTAACTTTATATCCATCATTGCCATTTAAAAACAACATGCCACTGAGTTACTTCTTCCAAATTCTTGGTCAATTTTGCCATGACCAGTGTGCCATGATTCTTCACCCATTTTACTAAAAACTTTATTTTCTCACTTATCATTATCATCATAGCCACTATAATCTCCTCAAACATCGTGATAATAGGCTTATGTATAACTTTGACCAAAGTGTCATTAAATGTTTCACATAAGTTGTTGTGGCACACATCACACCTAACATTTGTTCTAAAGAAAACCTTATACCAATATTTTGAGGATATTTGAACAAGTCTTCCTTTGCTGATCTAAAGTTATCTTTTTTGTGCAATAGCTCTCACATATCTTCAAATTATCTTTCTATTAAAGCATTTGCACACATTTAGAAATGTTTCTTCATTATTTTGCCTCGATGGCTCCAATTCAAATTTGCATGTATATGCTAAGCACACCTCTTATGCTCAATATTAAGGAACATTTCTTCTATAACATTTGTAAGTCCTTACAAAACAACGAAGATAACACAATTAGTGAAAAGTAATTATAGTTAATAGACTTTAAAAATAAAATCTAATTAAGTAAATAAGGTACAAAATTATACCTTTTGTGGATTACTAATAATAGTCCAAGGTTTATTACTGGTTATATCAAAATAAGTTTTTAGTCCAAAAATCACCTTTATAAATCCAATTTTTCATTCTTTACCACAACCCAAGCAACATGATACATCTAATTATTTGCATCCTTAACTATAACAATTAATATCTCTTTTTTTACTAAACCCTTGAGAAAACAACCATCTAAAACTATAATTTTCCTACATCTTGTTTTAAATCATTCATTAAAGGTAGTAAAATAGAAATAAATCTTCTAAAAATATGATGGTGAAGTAGGAACAATCCTCTCTATTTTTATTATAATAGTGCTACTAGGATTTTGATTGAGGTGCTTATCAGTTTAATTTCTCAATTTAGAAAACTCATTGGAAAAAATATTTTGCATACTAGCCAATGTCATTAGCTTTGCCCTTCTAACTTTATCAATAGACACAAAACACTTTAACTCTTATTTAATATGAGTGTGTAGCTCAGTATGCTTCAAGTATGGTTCTTTCCTTATCTTATCTTAAAGTTTTTTAAACAACCACTTTGCATTTAATATCAGTAGCTTGTACTTACAATTACATCTATGGATATTGCATAATGTCTTCACTTGAAAGCATTTCAATTTATCTTCATAGCTGGTATTGCATTGAAAAAGGCATATACTAGCACATAAAACATTCACTCTTCTAGGTTTATTCTTAATAAACCAAATATCCCTCGTAGTGTGAACATCATAATCCATCATAACTTTTTTAAACTAAGTGACATCTTTAAATAATAGACCTAATTCAAGATCAAAGATAAAAGATTTTGGATCGTAGGAAGAAAAATTAGTTTTTCTTAGTAATGATTCAACTTCTTCACCATCATCATTTTTCTTAGATTCATAACTTGAAGGCTTAGAAGATTTAGGATACTTTATTGCATATCCATCTATGCTATGATCACTTTCAACATTAAAAGATGGAACTGGCCTATTTTGCTTCTTTTTTAAAATTTCTTTACTCTTTTTTTTTTTTTTTCAATACTAGGTCTTACCTTAGTTGTTTGGTTTGGTGCATTAGGCCTAGCCTCATTATCATTACTAGGCCTCGCCTCATTATCATTTCTTTTTCTTCATTTATTTTTCATACTACAACATTGCCTAACAATCTCCCTTATTTCTCTAACCTTCTCATCATTATCTGCTAAACATGTCACATCATATAACAAGTCATTATCAACTGACTTGTCATTTTCATGAACATTACCTTCACCACTACTATCTTCAACATTAGTATCTTCACCTTCATTCTTTCCAACATCTGAAGTTTCACCAATCGTTCATATTTTCATTAGGAGTTTTAAAGAAAATATTACCAATGTTAGCATAATTTTCTATCTTTATTAGCTTAACCAAATAAAGATAATAAATTTCATCAATATCATATTCAACGTCATTGACCTCATAATTGGTATATCTTATATTAGGGTCATGCACAAAATTATGCATGAAAGATTTTTAGATTGATAGTTCTCCACATGCTGCCAAAAGAAAAAAGGTAATATAAGTCAATAAGGTAAACAAAAGTAGATACAACTTAACATATGGCTTAACAATCCATGTGGGACCACTCAACAACATTTAAGCATAACAATCTAACAATATAAAACCCAAGCAATAACACATGCGACCAGACAGTAACATATGCGACCAAATAACAATAGAGGGCTTAAAAATCTTAACAACACAACCTAATCAATGACATATAAAACCACTCAACCACACATGTCAAAACTGATGTAACACATAAAAAACTTCTTAAATATAAAATTAGACATAAATTTCACATACTAAATCAACAAAAATATAATATTTATACAAAAACATTTGACTCAAGCATTTCTACTAGCAAATCTTTGCCTTTCTATTAGTTCCCAAAAAATCTTTAATAGCATATGTTTCACACACGTTTTGCAAGTTTCAACCAACATTAGCCCCTTCTCCATAAAATCCTAATTTGCAATATTCCCAAAACTTCAACTCAGTCAAAACAAAACCTAAAATCAATCAAAATCCTTCTTTAAAAACCCTAGTAATCCAAATGTTTTTTTAAAACCCTAAATTGCAACACTCCTAATACTCTATCTCAATCAAGACAAAACCTAAAATCAATCAAAATCCTTCTTTAAAAATTTAAGTAGCATTTAGATCAAGAACTTCTTCCTTTCCCAATCTCATATTTACTTATCAATTTCTTTTTTAACCAATTACTTTTTTTTACTAAGGTTTTTTTATGATTTTTTTTCTTAAATGCCTTGTAATCTATCAATGTGGACCGACTATTACACATCGTCATCTTTGTTGGATAATATGTATCTAATAGTAATGATAGTTAGTTTAACTTAACAAAATTTTACTTTGTTACAATAATTTAAAATTTTATAGATTTATTTATATAAAAATATAAAAATATGGACTAATTTGCAAGTAATAAAATGTTGAGGGCTTAAATATGTTTTATATAAAAGGTTAAGGGTATATTTTAATATTAAACCTAAATAATATCACTTTTTTCCCCTTTTGGAACAATGATAACAGTAAAGAATTATTGTGAAACAACTTTTAATATTTATATATATATATATTTGAAATTAGATTTAATAATTTATATTATATTAAATATTAATAATTTATATATTCATATTATATTTTACATAAAAATTATTTATCATAATTTATATTTACATCGAAAATCTAAAATATATTATTTTATTTTATTAAAATTTAAAACTTGTATGTTTTTATGTTTTTTTTATTACTTTTGTGTTATTCATTATATTCATATGAAACGTTGAGATGATCCATTCATTCAAAGCCTATTTTAAAAAGTTTGGATTTATTTATGTATAGTTAATTATCTTTGCAATCTTGATATCTTAAGTCATATTTGGTACACAAGATTATGATAAGATAATATAAGATGATATTATAAATAGGATTAGATTAAATAATGTTATCATATCTTATTTTTTATGTGTGCAATGATTAAGAAATAATAATTTATTTATTAGTAAAAATTATTCTTCCTTGAAACTTACACAATTTAAATTATTAATGTATTTTAAGGGTATAGTAGGGCATATAAGTTCAATTACATGGATTAAAAATAATTCTCTTTACTTTGAGAAGATTGAATCCTCATATACTAAAAAGATGATAATTGTCATTGTAATCCTATCCCTTTCTTTAAGTACAAATAAAATATAATATAAGATGATTGTCATTCTATTTTATCCATCATTTTATATACCAAATATGACTTACTACTCCAATGCCTAACAACTAGAAATGTATATAGCCTAAAAGCTAAAACTAGAATTTTACTAGCTAGCCCATTATATCTACTAATAATTTGGGACTAGTGCTAATGGGTCGATCACTTTCTTTAGCCATTTTAGGTCATATTTGGTACATAAGATATGATATAAAATGATAAGATAAGATAATATTAGATTAAATAACTTCATCTTATTTTGTGTTTGATGTATATAAAGATTAGGATATGATAATTTATTTTTTTGTCAAAATTATCTTTTTTTAAAGTTTATACAATTTAAATTATTCATATAATTTTTAAATATATAATTGGACATATAAATTTAATCTTATAGAATGAAAATAATCATCTCCACTTAGGGAGGATTAAATAATTCTATACTAAGAGGATATTAATTTTCATTGCAATCCATATCCCTCTCTTTAAATACAAATCAAACATAATATAAAATGATTATTATCATATTTTATCAGTAATCCTATGCATCAAACATAACATTAAATCATTAAATAAATTATATTTCATATTACAATTATAATTAAAATTTACAATTACAATTACAAACAAATTATTTTAACATATATCAAATTGTATAATAAAGAATAAATCAAAAATTAATATAAAATTTGATTAAACCTACTCATATTAATTTCTGCTAAATTCTATTGAATCAAAAAACTATTCTAATTATAATAAGTTAGGTTCTAATTAATCCTTCATTTCCATTTTCTTTTTATTTGTCTATGTATTATGACATCAAAAAGGTCCAATTGAAAGAATGCCACTCCTACATTTCCACCCCGAGCATTTGACTGATTACAATGCATATATCTTTCTGTTTAAAGAATTGATTGGATTTAATGTTTTTTTTCTCACAATTAAAAAAAAACCCACTTGACCTTTATTTTTTTGAAAATACATGAAAAATTAAATTTAATAATTACTTGCAAATGTATGATAACAAGTCCAAGCATATAGTGGTAGCTAAATTCGATAAATTCAAAGTAAGGTAAATTAAAAATAAAAAAGAATTAAAGTTGTGTTTGATAAACAATTGAAAAATTTTCAAACCATTATTGAAATTTAAAATTTTTAATAGTTTTATATATTTTTAATACATTGGATACTTTAAAAATTATTTAATAGAAGACTTTTAATGAAAGAGTTTTGAAATGCTAAGTAGCATTTAATTAGCTACTTAATATATTAAGTCAATCTTATTTAAAAAGAATTATTTAATTTTATTAATTATATATTTCTTCCTTTTTTTACTTTTAATAAATTAAAAATAATTATAAAATCATATCTGTATTTTATAAAAAAAATTGATAATTAAGAAGAAAATTATTAAACATTATGTAACATACCGAATAATTTTTATATTAAATATCTAGTACTTAAAATTTTCAAAATTGGCCAATATTCTTGAAAGGTTGATTTATTAGAATTTAATAGTTTTTCGAACTTACCATTATAAGGATAAAACCTAATTGATATTTTACTTTGGATTATTAAGTATATAAGGAAGATGTGACGAGAAAAATTATAAATAATGAAAGTCAATATTAATTTCTAAAAAAAAAAATAAAAATCAGCACATTTAATGGCTAAATCGTTACTATTTCGGAATTGGGAGATATCCCTTCGATGAACAACCCTAATCCCTTGAACCTCGCCTAAAATTAGGCATTTTTTTTTCCAAGAAAAGGAGATTTTACACTCATTTATTTATTTTTTAATTTCTTTTTCTATTAAAAAAAAAAGCATGAAAAACGAACGACACGTTTTATCTGTCAATCGGAAGGATGCGTTTGCTGGTTGCTTCTCTGTCTTAGCTTATGAATCCTCTCCTTTTGAGTTGTCACCTTATAAATCCTCTCTTTCTGAGTTGTCTTCTTCTATATTCATCCATCGTCTCTGCTTCTTTCTCTCAGGCAAGTGATTTTACATACTTTTTTAGCCGTTTTTCACATTCATTTTCATTTGTTTTTACCTTTCTTGAATCTGGGTTTTTTTAGGGTTTTGAAGGAGTTCAAATGTGATTGGATTTGGGTTTATTATTGGTATGTTCTCTTTCTCTGTCTCGTTCCTCACTGAAACCTTTTCAATTTCCCCGATGATCAGCAAACATAAAATACTACAATTTCGTTGATTAATTATTATATTTTTTTTGCTTGGGTTGCTTGAAAAACAAAGAATTTGATAAAAAAATTTGAGTTAAAACTTTTAAGTTTTAAGGCATTAGCATTGTTTTCCTGGATTTCATTTGCATGACAGATATGTGCTGGTTTCTTGACCGTCAAGCCTTCTGGACGCGCATCATAAGATTCTTTGTTTTTGCTTTTTTTTTTTTTCATTTTTTCCACATTATTCTTTTATTTCTTTTATATTTTGCCTATCAAAACTGATTTTTTTTTCTTTAATTATATATTGAGTACATATATCATATGATTACTTCTTTACGTCAGATTTCTTTTTTGAATTGTTTATTAGAATGAAACTGAAATTAAAACTCAGGAAGAGGTGCAAAATTTATTGAGATCATGCGTGCACAATGAATCTATTTCAAATACATCCAAAAGAAAACCAGATGCCTTCATTTCTTGTCTTTCTTACTGGTTAGAGTTTTTCAATGTTTCACATTGTAAAATTGATGATATTTTCTTTTTCTTTTTTTCTTTTGAAAAAAACAGGGTCGATGCCACATATAAAACCCAAGCTTGACGTCACAGATATTAGCTGTCATCTCTTTCCATCTTTCCCTCTCTCAATGAATACTCCTCTTCCCTCTATTTATAACCTAATTCGTAATAGCCCTTTTCTCTCACAATTTCTCTTCATGCACTTGTAGTTTTGTTACCTTGAAAAAAACCCAAATCCAAAATCCCTTACTCGTTTTGATATGCTTGGTCTCGAAGCCTTAACCATATGTCCAAAGAAGAGCCAAACTGAAAAGCATTGCAATTCTTGCATGATGAGTTCAAGCGTCGTTTCCCTATCGGCTTCTTCTTTGATTGGTGATTATATTGGCATGGAGAGTTGCTTTGATCTGGAAAATAACAAAGAGGTTTGCCTTGGTGTTAAGAAAGATAATGAGTATTCTGGGGTTTGCAGTCGAAGTCGTGGGAAGCGAGAACAACGGTGTAGGAGGATGATGAAGAGAGAGTTTCCTCCGCCATTAACGTGGCTTGTTCGCACCGAGAATCTGCCTTCTCATATGCCTTGGGTGTTGAAAAGGTATTACACTAGTGATGGGCGGTTGATTCTTAGAGAGGAGAAGGTGAGACACCATGAATATTTCCGGGCTCACCGATCCAATGGTCGTTTAACATTGCATCTTGTGCCCTCGGATGACAACGATGAGATTGATGATATTGAGGATCATGAGATTCATCATGAAGAAGCAAAGGTCGAAGAGGCTCAAGTCAATGGTTTTGACAACGACAGCAACAATATTAACAATGCCGAGGATGATCACAAGATTAATATTGTTGAAACTTTGCTTAAAGACAACGACATTCCTTTGATTGAAGATTCAATACTGAAATGTTCAATTGCTGAGACTCCAATTGAGAATGTTATTGCAGCAAATGGAGGAATATGCTTGAACTACTGCAGTGTAAGACCAAGTCCTACATGTTTTATCAAGTTGCCAGTGCCAGCAATCAGGCCAGTGCACAGTTAATTAGGTAGCAAAACCTTCTCAAAAGGAGAAAAAAAATGAGGTGTCACTTTCATAAGATAAATGGAAATGCGTATGGTTGAGTAGCTTTAGTCTTAGATTCCTTCTATTTTTCCTTCTATTTTCTCTTTTTTACCTTTCCCCCAATTTTCCCCTTTTGGGGTGGCCTTCTTCGTTGATGTGATGAGAGTGAGTTGTCCTTTTCATGCCTTTTGTAAGGTCAGTGGTAGAGGTTTCAAAGGGTATTTTCTTTGTTAGGGTTTCGTTTACTTTGGTTTTTGCACAATAGATCTTTCATTTGTTAGTGATGAATTTTTATGGGTGTTATTTTTTTTCCCCTTTGGGTTTATCTATTGGCCATTCTCATGTCCTAGATTTTTCAATGTCAATGCCAAATGCCGAAATCCCTTTTATGTAACTACCATTTCCAGCAACATAACATGGTACATGGAAGAGTACCATATTTTGATGGGGAATGGGTTATAGTATTATGACATATTGGCAATTATGCATTTGTTTCTAACGTTTTGCCGAATTTTAGCTCTACCCAACTCATTTAGATTATCAATGCTTACTCCATCCAATCTTGAAAGGGTTAAGAGTGTGTGGCACCACCATTGCTAAACTTTTGTCTTCTGTCATTCTCTTTTAATTTGGTTTGCTTATTTACCACCATTTTGGCTTGCAATTTACACTGATTTGGGACATTATTTTTATTTGGATTTATGATGATAATCACAAGTATTTTTTGCGAATAAAATTATATGTATCATATTTTAATTTTGAAATGGATAATATGGTAGGGACATATATATACTCATTAATGAATTTTAAGTAGGTGTACAAGATTATGATTAAAATGGCTGAACTGGATTAAAGAGTAAGAGTTAAGCATTCAATGTATATATAGTATGGAAAGTCCTACTAATTTCAAAGGTTATATATTAAGCATAGGTAGGTTTATGCAAGTTATTAGGAATATTATTATATAAACATACATTCAAATGAAAGCTCAAAAATCATGCAGGTTTCTTGAAAGAAAACAATAGGAACCTGATTGATTACTCATGATCCTCAAACTTCTATAGAAAAAATGAGTTGCATGCAGCTGATGAGAGCTAAGAGGCAAATGCCAAATGAAAAGATTGTAGAAAAAGAGAAATTAGTGTTCCCAAAGCATCATCATCCATAGATCATCTCTAGAAGGTAGCTATTAGAAATATCAAAGAAGTAATTCTAAAAAGAAAAAGGGACGAATTCAAGTGGTCACCAGGAACTGGGAGTACATGCTATATGGTATTGCACTACCTGATCAGATATTTTTTCTCCAAGCATATGAAAGACAAAAAACAAGTTGGGTTCCATGATGGCCACGCCCCTCAAAGAAAAATTGTGCAGAAGGGTGTGGCACCGGCGGTAGACAGAAGAATCGAAAATCAATCAAAAGTACTTGAGGCCCAGCCTGGCCAGGCCAGCCAGGGGAACAATTTCCAAAGGGGACCCAAGTAGACTAATCATCATCATCATGATGTTATGCACGTATTAGCAAAGTATATGAAGTACAGCTTACCTCCCAATTTCTATTACTGTGTCAGTTCTCATGATCGGCAGGGCTTGCAGGGCTCTGCCTTGGCACTTCACTGCAAAACCTTCCAACCTTTCACTGTCATTTTTGGCAGCAGGCTGGTGCGTCTACCAATGTCACAAGTCAACCCCTTTGTTTCATATCGATGAATTTACTTACTAAACTTTGCCATCTGCCATGATCGGTCACTAGACTAATTAATCAATCATTGATTGATAACCATTTTACGTATGCTAGCATGAAGTTTAACTTCCCAATGCATTAAGTGGGAAAATAAGTAAACTGTATCTTTAAATCTCAGATTGTCCAACCAAACGCAACAAATGGTGTGAAGTGTTACAATTTTTCAAGGGTAGTAATAATATTGTATTATAAATGGTTAATAAGAACAGTTCAGCATTGTCCAATTGAACAATAAAAGAGTCGAACAGGCCCCCCCTTGTATCAAATCAAATGAAATGAATCACTGGTAGTCTCTGTTAGTAAAGCCAGACCTGTGATGATTCTAATTCCCAGTAGTCTTAATGATAAAATTTGGATGACATGACTAGCTTGCAACTTCGATGAGTAACACTTTGCATTTATTATATTGTTCCTTTGCATGATATATAATGCAACTTGAATTGTATTGTAAAGGAACTGGGTTTGTTTTATTTTTCTGTAATACTTTCTCCTTGTGTAAAATTTAGCTTATGTTTTCTTTTTCAAATATTCTATTGACATTCAATGACTAATATTTGATGATCTCATATACCTATGCTCAAATCTTTCTTCAATGGTATTCAATATTGATAAACAACCTTTAATTTTTGTACTTATTTGGTTCATGTCATAACTTTTTGAAGACAAAAGACAAATTATAAACTAACGCATGCATTAATTGGAACCAAGTTATTTTACCTGTGAAATTATATAATGGTATTTTAGTTGTTTAAAAACTATGAGAAGTCCCTGCTTTTCTATTTTTGTTTCTAAGCCAGAATTTATCAAAACAACCAGATAATTAAAAAAACTAATTGTACAAAGAGGAAATCCAAAGTTCCATTACAACCCTATTAGAACAACCAAGATATCCCCTTATTGTAAACCATGCAAAGACACCCAAGCTAGATACCACACCCAAGAACAAGCAAATTACACAAAGATCTGACAGAAAAAAGAGGAGACAGCACAGCAGTCCAAGCCAGGAAAATCGAAGCAAAAGCCGACCACAGAACCTCCAAGAACCAACCGTAGAAAGTTTAGATTAATGCCATGCTTATGCTTGCAACAATAAGATGCTGACAGTAATGAAAGCCGATATGGAGCCTATCATAACTTAAAATGGAGTAGAACCTCCAATATACATCAATAGCACATTAACAGTTAATCATTAGCATCCCGTTCCCTTCGCTTCATTTACATCCAACTTTTAGATAATGATTTTTCATCACCTGCGAAAGAGAATCCAAGATATTTTTCAAGCTCCTCAACTTTGACAATCTCATCTCTATACATAGAATTTATCCGTCGAATATCAGTGTCCGAAATGCAATTATCATTGTCTAAAATCACAGGGGTGCAGGAGCAGGACTACAAACAAGAGTCTTTTTAAATACTTTTAAAAGAAAAAAGTAATAGAAGTTTGAATTTGTCCTGTTCGAAATTATCAAAAGTAAAAACACATTGGCAATTATATGCATATAGAGATGAATAATGTCATTTGTAATAATGGTCATTGTTTGATTTTCTTCTTCATCATTGAAACCAACAAAAAGAAGACAACCTCCGGAGGTTCGAATAGTACTGAAGAGTCTAAGCTGTCACAAAAGCTAAACATCAGCTTGCACAAGTGGGCTATTACAATGTACTACGAATTTTTATTTACTTTACATTATTGTTCACTTGGAACACGTACGACCCCCTCGTGAAGAAATTAAAACCGTTCTTATGCTCTCCCTTACAACCTCTTCTCTTCATCTCATAAAAAGGTTTGTAAGGCAGCAATACATGTATACGTTTTATGTTAAAAAGATGTTTTGGAATTCATTTTCCAAAATAATAAGATAAGAGAAAAATAACAGAAAGACGATAGTGGATGTGTCAATATTGTCAGTACTAATTTCCACTAGCTAATCAGAGAGAAAATGCATGCAAGCATGGGATCCTTACATGAAGATGGGTTGATTTCAAGAACTAAATCTATAGTTTTATCCCTCTATCGAATCAGGCACATCCAGGTTTCCCCTCTCCCACGCAAATCCAAAAAGATCAATGCACTGCCTCTGTCTATAAACAATATCTCCAGCTACCAGGTCTCAAAACCCTAATATATGCACAGGAAAGTATCCCTCAAATTCAGAGTCCAACTCACTAGCTGAATCCTCTCATCATCCATTCCTTCACCATCCCACAGTCGTTACCTCTATCATCATCACTCTTCGCCTCAGATTTCCAACCCTTGTTTCGATCCTTAAGCACTCACTCTTCATCATACTCTTCTTGGCCCCCTGCGATGGATGATATGCTCGCGACTGAAAGTGGAGTTTCATGAGTCCTAATGCATTGAAAATGCCAGAAATGGATCAGAAAGCAAATGGTTATAATCATGGTAAGAGCAAGCGAGGGCGTGCGATTACAGGAGAATATCCAGCCCCCATTCCTTTACTGGCAAGAACGGGGAATTTGCCTGGTAACATGCCTTTGATTTTAGCGCGACATTACAGTAATGGGAGGCTCATTCTTAAAGAAGAGAAAGTGAAGCATCATGACTATTTTCAAGCCTACAGAGAAAATGGTTCGCTTAGTCTCGAACTTGTGCCTTTGGATGACACTTTGCCATGCGATTTGCGAGGAAAATGATGAGGAGGAGGAGGAGCTAGAGCTAGAAAACCTTGCAAGGAGATGAATTAGAGAAGGTTGAAGAATATGATGAAGATCAAACTAAAGCTGCTACCTATGATGATGATAATGAAGATAATGGCTACGTGTGCCAAGGGTTAATCACGATTTCATCATCAGCTTTTTCAGTGCCTAAATTCTGCCATGGGAATGAAAAATATGGAGATCCAGGCAAGTGTTTGACGTATTCGGGTAGGATTATATCAGAATCGAGTTCAATATTTTCCGATGCTATCGAGGAAGAAGGCAATTCAGCTCCTTCGACATTCTCCAATATTTTTCCATCGATGACTACTAGTCTACTAAAACTGCCTATGATGTAGCTTGTTTGGTGAAGTAGATTAAATCCTGGCTATAAGACAATTTACTCTCGGAATAAATTATCTCTCAAACTTTAATGGGCAAAAGAGAAAGTTACCAATTGAATGTACTTTGGGTTGGACAGCATTATTTGTAATTTCTCTTTTGCATATGGGCTAACGGGGCTTGTACATGACCCATAGACAAAAATTACGCCTTCATCCACAAATCCAGGCTCTAGCTCCTTTTCTCTCGCTGTTAATAAAAAAACAGGACCTATTTTTGTTCCTGATTAGCCCAAAAAATGTTATGGGCTGAACCGAGGAAACCTTTTACCGGAAATGCAAACAGCGACAATTTCCGCTTTCCACGCATTTACATTAAACGTCAACAACAGCGAAGACTCGAATGCATGTACCAGGAAACTCATCAGATCAAATATGATTTGCCGGTTGACCAAACAATTCTACGTGAAAAGGCATAAAAATAAAAATCTAGACGGCTACGATACACGTGGGCATTGTTTTGCCGACGTGTCATTATCCCAACCAACCTTACACGTATTTTATCAAAATTTTCGGTGCTGTATTACGTCAAGCAGCCAAACTTGAATTGTCATTACAATTGCAAACAATTAGAAAAATCGCTTTTGATCAGATAGATAGTCTCAATAGCTAATTTGGATGGTAGCTTTTGTTGGGTATCAGGTAATTTTTTTTCACTTACCCTGACTTTTTATTTTATTTTTCAGTTAAAGATCTGAATAATGCATGCGAAAATATGTAGTTTCTGGATCAATTCTGCTAACTTTTGGAATGGGGTTTTTTTTTTTTTTTTAATCTTGCATTTTATTTGATTGTGTGTGTGTGTTTTTTTTTTAATTTTTCTGTTTTCCTTTCTTCTATTTATTTGTTGATGATACAGTGGAATGGTTAAGTTTGAGAGAATTTGTGTGCTTCTGAAAGTTTTGGCTGTTATGATAATTTATTGGGTTGATTGAAAATCGATTTTTAAGAGCTGTTTAACTTAGTTCTTTGTTTTGATGGAGGAATACAATTTGGGAAGGGGTTATTTGGCTTATTTCTTTATTTTATTTGGTGAATATATTGGGAAATAGGTGTTTATTTGTACAATGTTTTCTTTACACTCGATGTGGTTAAGCATGATCTGAGCAAATTTTCATCATGTTGTAGGATTCTGGAATTTTAATCAAAGTAGTGTTGTTGTTGTTATTTGCTTTAAATATAATGGCAGGAAGGATGATCTGAAATTGGTTTTGGTGAATTCTCTAATCGAATGTTGCTGTAGTTGAATTATATTGTCTGTCTTTTCTTTTCCTTTTCAGTGGGGCGGGGGGGTTGGGGGAATAGTTGAATTAAAATTGTTCAAATTGCCTACTGGAGTTACTTCCATCTTCTTCTTGCTCCTGACTACTTGAGTTACTCAAATTGCTATTGTATATTTTTCATCAATTCTTTCATTGGTAACATTTTCATTGATCAATGAAAGTACAATGACAGTAATATTGCAGCGCTTGGACTAATTTCATTGACTAAAAAAAGGTGCGGTACCCAGGAATTTGTTCAAACATTGCTTAATCTGAGAATTTCTTAATGGGGGCTATTCTGAGCTTGGCTGCTGCAAGGAGTTCAATAAATGACTACAATGAGGTCTCACCGAGTGAAAGCAGCAAGAAACTGAAGATGTCCTCATGCTTCCATGAAGATAGATCAAGACTGATTCCTAGTCTTCCTGATGAGTTATCAATGCAGATCCTTGCTCGAATTCCTAGAATTCACTACTTTAATCTGAGGCTGGTATCGCAGAAGTGGAAGGCAACTGTTATGAGCCCTCAACTATTTAAATTGAGAAAAGAACTTGGAATGACAGAGGAGTGGTTATATGTGCTAACTAAAGTTGAAGGGGAAAAACTTCTATGGCATGCTTTGGACCCTTTGTCAAGGAAGTGGCAGAGGCTGCCATCAATTCCAAATGTCATTTTTGAAGAAGAATCTAGGAAGAGTTTATGGAACATTGTGGAATATAGAATTAAAATTGCTGAATTTATAAGAGGCTGGCTTGGGCATAAGGATGGATCAAATCACATGCAATTTTGTGGTTGTGCCATTGGTGCTGTTGATGGAAGCCTGTATGTGCTAGGGGGATTCTCAAGAGATTCTACCATGAGAAACGTCTGGCGATTCGATCCACTTCTAAATGCATGGACCGAAGTGACTTCCATGTCAATAGGTCGGGCCTACTGTAAGACAAGCATTTTAGATAATAAGCTATATGTTGTAGGAGGGGTTAGTCTAGGCCGAAGTGGGTTGACTCCTCTTCAATCTGCTGAAGTTTTTGATCCCCATACCGGTACGTGGTCCCAAGTTCCAAGTATGCCATGTTCAACAGCTCATATGTTACCTAATGCGTTTTTGGCTGATATGCTGAAGCCTATTGCCACTGGGATGACTTCATACATGGGAAGGTTATATGTAGCTCAGAGTTTATATTCATGGCCTTTATTTCTTGATGCTGGGGGTGAGATTTATGATCCTGAAACAAATTCATGGGCTGATATGCCAAGTGGCATGGGGGAAGGTTGGCCTGCACGGCAGGCAGGTACAAAGTTGAGTGTTGTGGTAGATGGTGAATTATATGCTTGTGATCTTTCCAGCCCTTTGAATAGTAGTAAAATAAAGGTGTATGATCAAAAAGAAGATGCTTGGAAAGTTGTCATTGGAAATGTCCCTATTAATGATTTTTCAAATTTAGAATCTCCATATTTACTTGCTGGATTTCATGGAAGGCTTCATGTCATCACGAGAGATGCCAATCATGACATTGCTGTTCTACAGGCTGATCCCCAGGATAATTTCAGTCCTTTGCCATCAAACTCAACTTCTCTTTCAGGTGGTTCCTTACAGAAATTTCCTGATTCAGTGGCTGAATCTGAAACAGTAATCTGGAAGGTTATTGCCACCAGAGATTTTGGGTCTGCTGAACTTGTCAGTTGTCAGGTTCTTGACATTTAGGTATATCAAGCAACATGTTAGAGTGCAATTCTAAAATGTTTATTGCCTGGAATCTATAGAAGTGAGTTCAGTGAATTCAGGTTCAGCAAATTTTACAGTCTCTATGAATTGTTCAAAATTATAAATCTACCCTGTCCAGAAGATCATCATCAAGTTTGTCAATTGTTCATGGCTCATTGTTGGTGATCTCATCGGATGTCCTTAGAATCTATGGATTGGTGATATAAACAACGATCCACATACCTTTCAATGTGTAATAAAAGGTGGCATTATAGCAATTTAAAGGAGAATAATATAATATCAGTAAATCCTCTTTATTAGGTTTTGAGCATTTAGTGATTTAATTTACAAATACAAGATCATCATTAATTGATTATTATCTTTGTAATGCATATTTGTGACACACTTAACAAAAATGAAAATCAAATAAAAGAGTTATATAGCAAAGTCTACTGCTTCATTGCCAATTGATTTGATGTACTTTCTTTGTGATCTGTTACTTTTGTGGTTTCTAACTTTCTACTCCAGCAGGTGTCCCACTGTTTCCCAATTGATTGGTTCCCTGATTTAGATCAAACAGTGCAACAAACACCTCTATGTGTCCTCAATTTCTTTCTTTTTTTTTCCCACTCATGAAGCTAACAAAATAAGCCATGATTGTTGTTTAATCCGTTGAACCTTTTCTTGCTCATGGTTGCTCTAAAAGTAACCTAAATTGTTAATAACTATTCTGTTTTTGATTCATTGAACCACGTTGGATGTCTCAAATAAAGGTACTAGTGGGTTCATGTATCTTATCCCAATTAAATGTAATTTGTACTTCATACTGTTGCTCTTGTTGATCTTAAACAGAGTGAAGAATTGTTTATGGTTAAAAGAAATAGGTAATAAGAACTTTTTTTATATTTAATTCAATTGATTCATATAATTATTTTAAAAAATAATATCTAATAAGTTTAATATCAAATTTTAACACTTGTGATCTTGTTCCTTATCTTATATTACATGTTAGAAATTTAGAATGGTTGTAGTCTCCCTTAACATAATTCCAATTATACAAAGTAATTAAGTATACTAATTCCACTAAGACTTACCAAAAGCATATCTTTTTCACAGAATCTTAGCCTGCTCTTAAAATGCTCCGTGATGAAATATTTACATTGTACAGTAACCTACACCAATTATATTAATAACTCTTTCCTACTGTTGAATCCCCAACGCTAGAACAAGGGCATTATATAATTAGGAGTTAAAAATTATAGTGATTCTGAAGCATTAACTTTTTCTTATTATATTATTCATTTTTGGAATCTTTTATCACTTCTGATAATGTTAGCATTTGTTCTTATGGTTTCTAAACAACTAAATCTTTAGTGCTGGAATGGTGTCAAATCAGTTAAAAGTGAGCTCCATTAATTCTTTCTAGTGGATTCCCAATCTAGAAAGACTCGGCATTTGGGAAATCAAACGGTTGAAGCAACTTTGAGTCGACTTTCTGTCCTGGAAAACTTTAATTCCTGGTTGGAACATGCGGCTGCTACATAGAATATCAGGTTACAGTAAATTTTTTTACAGAAGCTACTTAAAATATACATGCAGCAGCAAAATTTTTTACTGAGTGATAGTTGTTAAGGAGGAAGAACTACGAGCTATATTCACTGATGGAAAAACGAAGGAGAAATATCAGGTTACTAATTTTTTGACTATCAATGTTGAAATTCAGATTCAGAAGCTCATGACCTGTGGCGGGTCTACAATGAACTTTTCCCTAATTTCAGCCCAGATCATGGATCATGTGTAACTCTTTTCATAGTTTGTGTATAAAAGACAAGAATTCACTTCTAATTCCTAGCCATGCTATTGTCATTTTTAATTGTTTTTTCTTTGGGGGGTGTTGAATTTTTGTGCCAAGGCTAAAGAAAGAATCTAGGTCTCATTCTCTTGATTATGCTAGTGAAACATTATTAGTGGAAGTATATTCTCCTGATTTTCGTAGTTCCATCGAGTCTTCTTTTTCTTAGTGGTGGACCTCTATGCTTTGCAGCTAGCAAATGTACAACATTGTCTCATGTAATATCGATAATCCTCGTGATTTCATTACCAGTTTGTACATAATTACAAATTATAATGTTCTTTCTGCTGCTTGTTTGCAAGTTGTTGATGGTATGTGAAGTCATAAACTAATTTGTCTGGTAATGGAGAGTATCATTAGTCTATAAGTGCAAGAGTAATATGGTTGAAGCTTGATGGAATTGCTAGTGGAACTTCCAAAAAATTGAAAAGCAATGATGGTGGGGACAATTAGCTGGAAAAATCTGGTGATGGAATAAAAACCAACATGGAAGATAAAGGATTTGACATTGAATTTCTTCCATCTAATTAATTTGACTGCAATTTCATTATCTTTCCATTGTTGGGGAGGGGAGGATTTCTATCTTGCCAGGAATCTAATTACTCAGCCTCTCTCTTGGCAAGTGGCATCCTGATCCAGATCTAGTTAGTTCTGATGTTAACCTGGATGGTAGTTTATTTATAGATAATCTGAAAGGAAGTTGATTGCTTTCCGGGCTGTGCTTTTGGCTGTTCTGAGCTCTGTCATTGACAGATTCAAGCTGAATTGATCACAATTTGGACGGCATGATTTGGTCTGACTTGCTGGCCTAGGAAATTTTCATTGTTATTCATCTTATTATTAACATAATTGGTGGTTGGCTTTTCATAACTTTGATCCACAAAGTGAAGTGAGGGTTGTAGGCGTGGCCAAAGTTCCAAACTGCTCCAAAAGAATCTGTCAACCAAGCATCTGCATAAGTCTTGTCTAGACATTAAAAGGGTAAAATATTGGATGAACATCAAATGGTGTTAGATTCTCCACCATGCAACTTTAATGATAATGATTCTTCATTCTTATATTATTAGTTTAGCCATCTGTTTTTTGGAGTATGATTCTGTTTCCCTGGAAGAATCAAATATACAGTTGTCTTCGTTACTTTTATCTTGCCCATCAATTGCTGCAGAATTTGCATGAAGTTGTTATGTTCTAGACCTTAAAACCAAGCAGTAAATCAAAATGAATATTTGTGCCAACCTGAGGTTTCTTATTCCACTGTTGGTGGTCCTTGTAAGGTAGTCAGATAAGGCTTGCTGATAAATAATTGCTGATGCTCTAATGTCACCATCAGAAACAGCAAGTTGATCAATATGACAATAATAGTTCTTCCAATAATAAAAGTTCTATTGCCCCCATTACTTTTGTTTGAATAGTGAAATTTCTTGATAGGTTTTACTTTTCATAATGGTGGGAATTTCTGCAAAAATATCAGACATGGGATGATTTAAGTCTTAAGATGATAAAAAAATAAAAAAGAGAGAGTGAGAGATGGAGAAAAGGAAATTTTCCACTCATCACTTCCAACTTTGGCTAAGCTGTTAGGTCAACTTCTTAAAGGGAACTCAAGAACTTTTCACATCTCCATTCATTTTCATGAAACTGTTCAAATTTTCTGCTGTGCCATGTTTCTAAAATGCCCTTCAATTCAAGAAATATGAGTTTTTCTTGTCTTGAACTTGTTACAAGAAATTGACTTGTTTTATATTCCACAAAGTTGCATGTTATACAAAATCTAATTCTAATTAAAAAAATTCAATAACTAAGTCAAATTAATTGAATTTTAGTTAAAAATTAAAACATGTCATCCCATTCAAACAGATGGTTTTTGTATTCACCAGATTAATGAATAGATTACATATATTTTCATTTACTGGAGTATAACCAAGTGGGGTTATTTACAGATGACAATGTAAAAGTGTCACTTTCTATATCATTAGCTTTTCTGTTAGATTCAGGTAAAAATTTCTTTCTACATCAAGTTGCAAAGGTTTCTCTCCCTCTTCATTCTCTGACCTGTTATTCTACATTTCCATTCAGTTCCAGCTCTTAGGTTGATGCCAAACCACTTAAAGTACTGTTTTTTTTTCTTGGAGTTTTAAGTCTCTTCAATTTTCACGGGATTATTGTTTGCAGTGAATTTTGCAAAAAAAAAGTTATCTGTTTTGATGGTTTCTTTTGTAATGTTGGTTTTACTTTACAAGAAGCAAACTTTCAGTCTTTTGTTTATTGTTAAACATCTTCTGCACAGAAAAAGAAAGGCTTTACAGTGAACAGTTATTTCAATCTGATTGAGAAAGAAGCTGCTTTTTTTAGAGATTAGCATGAGAGTTTGAGGTGGAATATTGGTGAGAAATTTCATCTATGGCTGGAGAAGACTTAGTGGAGCTCAAATTCAGGCTTGCAGATGGAAGTGACATTGGTCCAAGCAAGTATAGTTCATCTACAACTGTAGCATCTCTCAAGGAGAAAATACTTGCTCAGTGGCCTAAAGGTTAATTTTTCATTTTTACCTGCTTAATTGTATGCATAATGAATTTTGTGCTTTTTTTAGCCTTTTTCTCATTACTATATCTTGTATGTAAAGTGTCTTTGTCTTGTTATTAATTGTTTCAAAATCGAAGTTTTCTGTATCAAGAGTCAAGGTGATTTTTTTTTTCTTTATGCCTTCAAATTAGTTGAGTTCATGAAGAGTCTTTTGGTTCTTCTACTCTTTTCCAACTGGCATGATTTAACTATAGCTACTGTTCTTCTTAGGTGACAGATAATGGGTGATGGTTCGTTTTTTTCTTTAACCTTTTGTACTCTAGGATCCCTGCAACAAAAACTCAAAGGCACATGAATTTAGACCAATAACATACTGATTTCCTGAATAACAAAGCATCACTGATTTATTTTGTTGGATTTATATTTGTTCTCTAAAGAGGAAAGTCAGTCTACAAGCTTATCAGAAACATTGTTATTATTTTCCTGAGGCTGACAAGTTCAAGCACAACCTCACCCTGCCATTAAATCATGCCTTTCGTTACACTTATTTCACTTCTCATTTATTTTCCTTCAGTTTTGCTTCTCTATAATGAACACAAGCAAAGTTTATAGTACATTGAGGTAGTATGTTGCTTTTAATCCTCCTATACCGAGACTTATATCTGAATTGTTGTGTTGTTTTGTTGTTATAACATTGTTCTTTGATATACAATCGGCTTCTGTTTTCATATGGAATACTTTTCTCTGTTTCTCAGACAAAGAAAATTGCCCAAAGACAATACAGGATGTGAAGCTAATTAATGCTGGAAAGATACTTGAAAACAACAGAACACTTGCTGAGTCCAGACTCCCGGTTGGTGAATGTCCGGGAGGTGTAATCACAATGCATGTCGTTCTGCGTCTTCCTTTGTCAGACAAAAAGAATGGTAATCCACAGCCATTGCATTTGATTCCTTACATATGGAAGGGATTTGAGGGCTAATGCACATTATGCATTTTTAATCTTGTGCATAAATATAACTGAATAGGCACAGATTGAGCTACCTGTATAATCAATGGTAGTTACTAGTAACCAACCAAATCACCAATATTGCATGCTGCTTTCCATGTGAACATTTTCTTAGGAGTAAATAATAGTAATAGTGAACCCGGAACTTAACTTGGTTCATGGAGTCACCCCTAAGAGGCGTCATTCAATATGTCTAGAGTTCAAATCCCAACACCTACCTCTCCTTTTCCTATCCTCAGACTACGACCTCCTTCGTAATAAAAAAAATAGTAACAGTCAAAATATTCATCTTTTCTTTCTTCAATATATTTTCAGAAGTTAATCATTACATAAGTAACCTTTGCAACTGAAGCCTATTCCATTTCCATCTCCCCTGCGAGCCAAAAGTTCCACCAAGTTTTTCCATATAGGTGAACAAAACATAGGGTTCCATGTTTGTTTTCCTATACTGTCCTTTCTCTCATTGAAGCTGTATCCTTGCTCCTGTCTATTAGCATGCTATAGCTATTAACTCGTCTGGAAAAGTAGGGTTCTGGTGTATGTTTTTTTGGTACTATATTTGCATTATGAAGTCCGTTTCATGTAGTAAGTCTTGTCTATGATCAGTATGTCATATCCCTACTTAAGAAGTACTAACTCCCCACATCTTATCCACAGAGAAACAACAGAATGATTCTCCAAAGAAAAGCAGCTGTTCATGCACAATCTTGTAGCTGCCTAATCAGTTTACTGATGCTTATTCTACTGACGCCGGTTACTTCAAGCATTCCTGTTATACTTATTTGTTGAGATTGCAATCCTTCAACATTACACATGTTTCAGGGTTGATTACCAATTCTGGTGGCAGCAGAAATATGTAAAAAAAAAAAAAAGGTTGTGCGGTTTGCTTTACTGGAAAATCTTGCATTTCCTTTGTTGCTTGTGAAAGAAAGGGCCAAAAACAAAGGAACAGTGTTGAATTTGAAGCTTAGTTGATGGACCAAAAAAGATTAAAAAAAGAAATTTAAAGAAGAAATTATTGATTTCATTATTTTTTAATTAGACTGCTCTTGAAAATGTAAATTCCTTTTTGTCACCTGCATGATAGTGGATGACCACGTGTTTTTGGAATCAGAAAGACGAGACAAAGTGAAGTGTGGATGAAGAAAAGAAAACCCAAGGCTGGTGATGAAGAAAAATGAAAGCAGAGATCAAGAGAAAGGTGTGGGACACAAAGGTTGAATTGATGCTTCTAGTAATGAAATAAAAATGATTCTGTCAACCAAAGACAGGAAACTATATATATAAATATAAATATATATATATATTTTTAACATTTTGTACCAAACTTGAAAAACTTGAACCCTGCTATAGCTCAAATTTCTTGTGAATTTTGATAGTTTAATGACAAGCATTAACTTAAACCTGTGAAGTGGTCATTTCTGGGACATAGCAAACAGGACATCCAGGGCCAAGTTTGTTCATTTGGCTCAGGAATGGTGTCCCCAAGAGAGGCCTATGAGGAACGATTCAAGCTTAGGGATTTCTTGGATGCCCGAAATTCTTGAGAGTCTTCATTCTCTCCTTCAGTCTCTGTAAATTGAAGGCTTAGCTGAGAGTATCGCTCATGCATCTCTTTTAGTTCAATTTCTACAGCTCCATATCTTCCCTTTATCTTCAGCATGTCTTTGATTAGCTCATTGATGTCTCTGAACCTTTTGAACACTGCTTCCTCATCATTGTCCTGTTTCAAGAAAGAGCTGGACCAAAAGAGAATATTATGCCAAGTTCTTCGACGTTTCATTTGCTCAGCTAGAGTTTAAAGTACCCTTTGTCCTAATTAATGTCAATATCCCCAAACAGCAATGCATGATACAATTCAAATTTTCAGCACAAACTCGTTTTACATATCATGAATCAATGAGGCTCAAAAAGGGAGAAATCAAAGCAGTAAAAGGAAAGTCCAGAGGAAAGCACAACCAATAGATATGAACAGTAGTGAAAGAGGATTGATAATTTTGCAGGGATTCCACCTATGAGAATATATACCAAGCGAATGGCTGTGAGATATTTCCCAGTCAATGTTTTATTTTAGCTCATTGGATGCATTATACATGACTGCAAATGGTTTTCAAAATTTTTTTTAAGGGGAAAGAAAAAGCAAATTAAATGTGAATGAAGATGCATGCTTTGAATAAGCATACAGGGACCAGGTAAAGCGCCACCAAACAAGTCCTTGGATAATCTTTGTCGTAGATAATTTTTTATAAATTCATTAAATTTCATATAAATAACAAATTTACTTAGAATCAATTAGAAGTTGAGAAAATATAAAAACCCTTCATGATAAACCCAAAAAATTGAATAAAATCAATACTAGTAAACAAAACTTTTGCAAGTATATACATTTTCTTCTTGTTTCTATGTTTCTTTTTTTTGGTACAAATAAGAATCAGAAGAGTACAGACTCATCAGTTTCACCGCCCAAATGCAAAGCTTTGCCTAATCTGCCTACTTTATCAAGCCAAAAGGCCTTTTCTTTGGCCATAATATCAAGCTACAAGGTTAAAGAACCGAAAAATCAAATCAATCAAACATAAAACATCCAACTAAGACCAAGCCCATAATCAAAAGAAAAAACAAAAATGGTCCCCAGGACAACTTTTGCCATCCCATATTTGGTATTTTAAATAGGTTTTTCTGCAGAATCAGCAGAAGAAACCTTGGCAGAATGGGTTTTCCTAGACACCCAGAAGAAACAACCAGCAGCAGGGATTTTCTTTTCATCAAAAACCTTATCATCGCTCTTTGCCTGTAATTCCTTCTCCCTTTTCTTCATTTTCTCCTTATGTAAAGATCGCATCACGTAAGCTTCTGCTATACCGGTCGTTGCCATTGCCAAAACTGATATATCAAAACTTGTACTAGAAAATTTATTTGAGATTGGCTAGCCTTGTCTTTGAAAGCACACAATTTAGGATGAAATGAACTGGTTCCTTGAAGGAGCTTTGCTCGGAAATTTATAGGCCGCTGTGGGGAATTAAAAAAGGCGAAACTTCCATGTAGGGACAGGCGGCATAGTGTTTGAATTTTGCTTGGAGGCTAAGGAATCGAAAGAACGGTGAAATTGTTAAATTCTTCTTTTGTGGTGTTGATTCTGAGGCCCGTTTGGATTCAAACTTTCCTTGACCTTTGAGGTGGTGGCGTCAGCGAATACGTGTTAAACAGCTTGGTTGCTTTTAAATAATATTATTTAATTATTTTAATTTTAAAATTTTTGAACACGCATGTTTAATAAATTTTATAATTCACCGATTTTGATTTTTAACAAATTACATTTAAAGTTTAAGAAAAGAATCTGTTATATTGCAGAATTCTCGTAATATTGTAAATAAAAAGTACAATATATTTTAAATAATTATAAATTTATTTATAAATTGATATTATATAGGTGAGTCTTTAATTTTTTTCTTGATTAAACAATATGTGACAGAAATTTTTAAAATGTTTGAATATATAAATTCAAAAATTTTAAAAGCCTTCTAATTTATAATCCAAAATTTTAAAAATTAAATAGAAATTTTAAAAATAATTTTAAAAAATATGAAATAAAATAAAATAAAAATACAATTTCAGAACAAACTGAAGTTGGCATGCCTGCCTGCGTCAGCAAAGATGTAGCATGCTTTGTTCCTCACTTTTCCTTAGGAGTGTAGACTTCTTTGAGTGGGACCCTGTCCAGATCGGCTCAGTTGCACCTGCCTATATGCAGGCAGTTCCATCCTGTTTTTGGATATATATATATATATATATATATATATATATTAAGAGTTTACTCAATAATGAATCAAATCCATCGCATTAATCGTCATTTATTGATTTGAGTAATAAAAAATTTAATTTTATTTAAATAAAGTATCAATTTCAAATTTTATGAATAAAAAAAATAAATTTTAAAAAAATTATCTTTGTTATAAAATTTGATTTGATTTTGAATTAATCAAAATTTAAAATGATTATTAAATATTGAAAGGTTTCAAACAAAAAAAAAAATCTAACATAGTATTTTTTTTACTAATTAAGGTTAGTTTGGTGCAATATTAGATTTTATTGTATTTTCATTTCTTTAAATTTTATTATTTTTATTTTTAATTTTATTAATTTTTAGATACAAATAATAAAATTGATGAAACTTTATTATTTATATTAAAAAATATCTCATGAAATATTTTATTTTTATTTAAAAATCAATGAAATTTAAAGTATAGGAACAAAATTTAACATTACATTGACACTAAAATATTTTGTAAAGTATTTTTATTTTTGTTACTTTTGTTAATGAAATTAAAATTATAATGAAAAATTTTAATAAAATTGATGTATATGTAGTTATATTTATAGGTAGATTTGAGGCCTTCTTTTTCCTATTTCGAATGGAAAAAGATAGTAGAAAAAAAATTTGTTTAACAAAATTACATTGTTAATATATTATTATATTATAAAGTTATTATTATTATTATTATTAAGACTACATTGTATTGGATTAAATAGTAATTATTTGAATAAAATTAATCACCTAAACGAGATTTATTTATCCAATTAACCCAAAATTAAAAAGGTTTGAAAATTCTCTTAACGTGCATATGAACTAAAATTGAAGTCATGAACTGTTGCCCTTCATAATTACGTTACAAGTTGTGGTTAAAGAAATAAGTTTGAATTATTGAACCAACAAAAAAAAAAGAACTCTCTTAATTCTATAATTACTTCTTTCTCTTCTTTGGTGGCTGAACCGGCTCTTCTTCATCCTCTTCATCTTCTTCATTTTCTTCATCTTCTTCATCTTCTTCATCTTCATGCTCTTCATCTTCTACAACATCTTTCTCTTCCTCTTCACCGCCTTCGTTGTCTTCATCACCATTGTCATTCTCCTCCGGCTCATCATCATCATCGTCATTTTCCTCTTCTTGATTTTCTTCCCCTGCTCCATTATCCCCTCCTTCAGTTCCCTTCTTGGAGTTGCCATTTGCATCATTAGGATCGTTCCCATGATCAGCTCCTCCCTCTTCACCATCAAAATGGCCGCCTTCATCGCCTTCTCCATATCCACCATCACCATCATCATTGTCTTCATCTCCATCTCCCTCAGCGTCAACTGCTTCAGATTCATGTCCGACACCTAAATAACTTTCTTGGTTTTCGCCTTGGGTTGCTATCAATAGCTCAAGCAGATCCTGAAACTATTAAACCAATTTAAGCTTAGCAAATGCATAAAAACCAAGAAAAATGGAAAGCAAGTGACACAAAACAACAAATAACCCTTTGTTTTTTTACTGGGTTTTTTTTTTTTTTTTTTGAGCCAGTGCACCACGTTGGATTCATTAAAATTTTCTTCTTCTTCCTTGATGACTAATGACTATATATGATATGGGCCTTTGAACCATGCTATGTAAACACAAGCCCAATAATCTTCATACATACATACATACATACATACATACATACATGATAACTCAACATAAGTAAAAAACCAAAGCCCCGGAACTCAACAAAACTTTACGTAAACCGAATCTATATTTCCATTTCAGTTCCGAACATGGTACTCCACCAACGACGGCGCAAATTAGCAACCAAAAAATATTACAATCTAAATTACAGGGATAAAAGTAAACGTTAATATTAAGAAATTAAGCAAACTCTTACTTGAGGTGCAAAAAGCAGAGCCTGAAGCAAAGCTGAGGATGCGAGTAGAGTAAGTACGGTTCCCCCAGCGCATGTTAGCAAACCCTGCTTAAATATCAACTCTAAGTAACCTTTTTTGGTCTCCATTGGTACGGCACACTGCGGAGGGACAACAAAAGAACATCAATCATATGACTGTTAGATCTGATAACCGTTATGTCAACCGTTAGATCCCCACAGTTTTGTTCCAAAAAAGAAACAAATGGGTTTTTTATACAAAACCACTAAAATATAATAAGACAGAAAACAAGGATATGTCTTGCCGGAAACAGTTAACGTTAGTTAAAAGAAAACGACAAAAAAAAACGTATACCAGAAAATTACAGGGTGTTTTGGAAATTTTCCGGGAAAGGTGAGGAAAATTAAGAAAACAAGATAAAGTTAACAGTTGGGGAGGGAAGCACAGGAAGGAAAAAGGAAATGAGAAGTT